ATAATTAAATCTTGTCATGATGCAGAACATTCATATTAGATAGTGAGTTATAACAATATTTTAACATATAAAATCTAAACGTTGTCAAAGATTTTTTGATGTTTTACAATAAATTTAGTTATAAGTTTTTTAATAAAAATATATAACTTCATGAAAAAGATTTTATGTCATACTTGACAAGTAGACAAATCTTGTGCTCACTTTATTTGAATCTTTATTACCATAGATTTTCATTGAAATAATGAGAGTGTGACCAGAGTCACTTTGGTGCTGAGTTGAAGAGTTGTAGTAATTGTAGTAAGTATAGGAATTCTGAAGATCCACACGCAAAAAAAGGTAGGCAGATTCCGTGAATGAAGATCAAAGGTTTCAGCCGTTTTAATTGTGAGATACAGCACTAGAGTCACACCCCTTCCACAATAGTAGTGGAAAGTGCAAATTTGAAATACTGAACATGAAAGTTTTATCTTGATAAATAAAGACCAATTTTTTAATATATTTGTTTAAAATTTAAACATAAACCATACATTTTTAAACTATTCATCTATAATCTTTAAAAAAATTTGAAATAAATAACTAAATAAATATAATAAATAAATCTTTTGAATTACTGAAATATTATATTTCACAATCTAAAAAATTTGAACCATTTCAACATCTCCATAAAATAGATGTTCTTATCATCATATATATTTGAAAATACTTTTTATAGAAGTATTATAGAATTTTTCAAAATATTTAAAATACAGTTTTTGAAATTAAAAATAAATTTCAAATATTTTTATTAGATATCTTAGGGTTTTTTAAATTAAATTATTTATTTTTATCCTAGAAAATTTTGGAATATGTTTATATTTGAAATTACTTAAAAATATTATGTTCATTAAAAAACTTATTGTTCAATTATAAAATCTATTTAAAAAAAATTAAACACGCAAATATTGGAAATGTGTTTTATGAATAAAATTTCAATAATTTTTATTAATTATTGAAATTTATAAAAAAAAACTAATCAATATGTTTTCTTTTAAGTTAATTCTAAAATTTTTATTTCAAAAATATCAATAATTTTTGTGAAGTATCAACACATATTTATTGAATCAAATTTGAATATATAAATATTTATTCTTTTATTCTTTTATTTATTTTTTTATTGAATATTTTTTTAAAATTTTGGTCTTATTCATAAATTTTTTTGGAAAATCGTATAATAAAACTTTTTATTTTTGAAAATTTCTTTAGAAAAAAAAAAAAAATTTATCTGCATAAAATGAACCAAAACACATTACATTACTGAAATATTTTAATAACAATCTTTGAAAGATTTGGAACATTTTAATTACATTGTTTTAAGTTTAATAACTGAAACTTAAATTTTTTAGAAAATTTACTTCCATAACCTATAAAATATTTGTAAGACTTCAAATATATCGTTTAAAAAAATAAATTATTTAAATTAAATTGGAAAGTTTGAAAATCTATGAATTTAAAAAATTATTTATTTTTAGTTCTATTTTTTTGTAATCAAATACTAAAGATTAGATTTTTAAAAATTTTTGAATTTTCAAAAGATAAATATTATATTGTTACATCTCTGTGTTGTATTCTTAACTGCAAGTGCATTAATCATCTATGGAGGAGCCGCTTGTGAAGTATCTATGTTGCACCAAGTGGTGTTTTAATTTTGGTTATCGATGAATGAATGAAAGAGTTTGAAATAATATACTTAGAAAACGTCCCACCACAAACCCGGGTGCTAGCTTCTTCGGATAAGCGTCTAGTCTTCTTTGTTCAGAAATCTTACCCTTTAAAATCCAATGTCTTTTACATTCTTCAACTATTCTTCAGTGCAGAGAAAATATCCAGTGTATATACCAAGCTTTCGGGCATTGACTGGAAAATTCAATCCAATAATAGCTTGATTGCCCTAGTTCGTATAACCTGGCTCGAAGCATAAGGCGATGGACACTAGATACAGGACATGATAAATGCCAAAGTGCTCGTCTTTGTGAGCAAACAAGCAAGCGTAACTGTTTTATTGTTGGTTGAAATAAAAAACTTAAACGTTTTAAGTATATATTGCGCAAAACCTCAAGAGTTCCAAGAATTCTTGTGTTGTGTTATTGTTGTACTTGATCCACGGTTAACAAATGCTATCAATAGCTGAATTTTAGTTTTTTGAGATTTTAGTGCAATACCAATCAAATTTATGTTGATTTTAAAGAAAATTATGGTCCTTTAGGAGCAAACTCAAATCCCAAAAATGATATATCACATTTCCAAGAAGAATACGCAACAAACATTTAAGCTTGCAAGATGAAGGTTGCAATAGATTTCTTGTTTGAAAGCAATGGCTGCTCAACAGTTGAACTCATCATCATTTACAATTTATAAGTTACGTAATTATGACAGATGTCATGTTTTTTTGTATTTGTTATTTTTAGCGGTAGTCTAGAGTTAGTGATCGAAGGGTATAGAGTCGAAGAGACTTGAAGAACGTTCAGTTCTCCGAGTCCAGCTTGTAGCATTGGGAGTAGTCCTTAGTGGGTTGGCTGTGGTGTCCATAAACGTCGACTTAGATCTCTAGTGAGTGGGTTGAGCTCGACATTGACGTTCGAGTTTTGAACCTGTGGGGTTAGCACGATTGTTTTCATTCGAAGAACTTGATTGTTTTCACTCAAAATTGTGATACATTTGAGTGTATACGCTCATAAGTCCTATGTGTGTGTTGTTGAGTAGCATGTAAGCTAGGTAGGTATGGCAATATTTATTTTCACGACACAGAGCCAAAGATTACCATGTGCAAGATCTTAGAGTCAATAAAGAACTCGGATTCGGTTCAGAGTTCATTACTTGGTTGTATCCAATCTCTCTGTATGATTTCATAGATAACAAGTGATTTTAAAATCATCTTAAAAATCTATAATTCTTCTAAAATCAAATAATCAACAAAACGAAAAATATTTAAAACGCAAATTTTCAATATTTGATAACATGTAAAAAATTATATCATAAAACTAAAGTATAATTTTCAAAAAAATTTTCTATAATAATATTATTCTAGATGAAGAACATTTATATTGAACATCTTGTTATTCAATACAAAAGTAAAATCATGTAGGTATTTTTTTTTCAAAAAAAAATTGATTTTAAAATTTTTGTAAGAAAATTAGATAATTTCATGGCAACATTTGTGATATATTATACAGAAAAGAAGGTTCATAAACCAATTTTTTATTATGTCAATAATAGAAAAAAGAATTTGTTTTGAAATTAGCAGATAAATTCATAATAATACTTCATATTTTGGTCTCATTTTATAAATAACAAAATAAAATTAAAAAATTTGAAATCAAATAATAAACATAACAAAAATATTTGAAATTTCAATTTTACTATGTATAATATTACTTTATTTTATATTAATACTCAAAAAAATTCAAAAAAAATAGTTTTATTTGTTTGAAATATAATCAACATTAGAATTCAGTATTTCTACTTTTAATGATCTTTGAAAGAATGAAAAATATTTCACTTATATTTATTTAAAATGAAGATTTATTTTAAAAAAATCAATTTTTATGATTGAAAAGAAAATAAAAAAAATTTAATGTATTTTTTAAGAGTATAATATGCTGATAATAATAATATTTGTAAGATTTTCATGAATATTACTATTCTAGATACAAACTTCAAGAACCATTTCAACATTGCGTGCACATGGACATAGAGCTGGGCATGCATCCCTTATAACAAAGAGATTTTGCTACCGACTGCACACTCTCCGTCACGCCCAGCACTTCATTGACTTTGCTCTAACTCTCTATAGCCCTGAGCAATGCCCGTACTCTCTTGTGTATGCTTGTAGAATATCCATGACCCATCCACGCTGCGGAATTTTAATGTCGTAGATCATCTAATATAGGATGGCTCCATAAGGTAACTCTCTGATAATTGCCCAATTCTACATCCGAGAATCCCTACTATCTTACCAGAGTACAAAATACAAAAGCGTTTAGAGTGTGATTGTAATCCTAGCACATGGCGATCCAGTACGATAGAAACTCAACATGATAAATGTTATTTAAATATTTAGCTCATGTAATTATGTAAAAGTCTATAAGAAAATGCAAGAATATTTTATTTTATTTTTAATTATAGATTTTATATGTCTTGCTTATATGAAAAAATAACATATTTTAATACGAAGTAAATACGACTTCACACACACACATAGAGTAACTAACTAACTCCATATATATATTTTTGACGTTTTTGGTATTAATACATGACATCCAGAATCAAGCAGGTGCAGTGAATCCTTGGCCAGTTGACCATTAAGCTCATACATTACAGCAGAATACAAACACCTGACATACACAAAGCGTCGTTCAATTGAATACGTTATTCAAAAAGCTTAATTTGATTTGAATTTTATTTGAAATTGAAATTGAAATTTGATTTGATTTTTTTTAAAAAAAATATGTCATCCAATCTAAAACGAGTGATTTAAATTGAATTTAAATTTTTTATTATAAATTATTTGATATCTTTTACAATTTTAAGATTCATGGTAAAATAATTAATATTATTTTGATATGATTTACAAAAATAAACATAATTTTTATTTTTATTCAAGTTAAATATATTCAATTGATGTATATGTTAAATTTTGTGTAAAAAATCTTATGATATATGAGTATTGTATTTTATAAAATAAAATAAAAAGACGAAAAGTAGCAATGTATAATATACAAGTAAAAGTGCACTGATTCAAATATTTGAAATATATTTTAAAAATCTTTATTTATGTTTTTCCAAGTGTTGTGTTCGAGCTGTAACTTAGAGACAAAAATCACTTGAATTTTTTATTCATTTTTTATTTATATTAAAATGTTATCGATGTCACTAAGTTCAGTTGAGTTTTAATATCTGAGTATGAAATTTGCGAAACAAATGAACGTGCACAGTTTAAAATGATACACACCTGCGCAATGGCTGGATCAATGTGGAAGAAATGACATGAGTAGAATAATATTTGACGTTACTTTGTCAAAGCAAATTGTCTCACTATCTCCTTCTCTTTCTCACCCAAATGTTACTATCCGTACTCTCCTACATCCGTCACGGGGTGTTACTTGGAGGGGGGTTTGGAGATACAGGAGGGCCTTGACCTGCAACAAGTACATCAGAGCTTGTATCCATGGAGGAAGAGGCCGACTCGGCCAGAATTCTTCGACCATGTAGTTCGCTGGGAAACTTTTCCACGATGACATCCATGTGAATCAAGCTTGAAGGATCTTCAAGATGATGAAACGATTTTGGTCGTAATGATCTACAGCCTTTGGAAGGTTGCAACTGCAGTCCAAAGTACATATCCAGATATAGTCAGAAAGCCATATATAAGTGAGTTCTTGTGCATGAGAGGACATGAGAGCTCCCAACTTGCTAGAATCCACATTATTATGCGATAAAGACTCGAACCAACCAACAACTCGAGAATGAAATCTCACCTTCAAATCTGCAGTGCTGTCTTCCGAGTAGGCCTCTGAAGGGAAGAGTCCTGCAATTGAATCCGACCGTTATTTGCTATACCTGCTGTTATCTACAACTCAGATACAGGAGTAAGTCTAAATGCAAGCGTTTGATCTCGTGTTATGAATGCAAGGTGTCTGTGAAACGTCCCAAACTGAATGTGGATGTAATCACAGAGGGTAGTTCGATGCCAACAGCATCGATTTTCGTAAACCTGAGTGTCTCAAAGGGACATGACGTTGAACAAGTTTCACCTCTTTCAGACAGCGAGAACGTTATGGCTAGCAAGATCAGAAGCTCCAGCCTGCAGACTCGTCTGCCATAATCGGGAATCGCTTCCACGACCCTCATCATTTTGTGTCGACAATTGTCAACTTTAGTCACAGATATGGTCCACAGAAACAAGCTTCAAGAGATCTCGCTCGTACACAGACTGTTACAACTCCGACTACGTTGGACACAGCGCCGAGATCCTCTCTGTGGTGTTGCGTCGGTGTGTGTAGCACTCCCAGAGTATGGACGAATTCAGTCTCAGCGAGTCGGAACACTGTGTACTTGGAGGTGAAGATGCGTGATCATAAAAATTCAATACACGATATGTACGCGAAGATTGCTGCTGTGAAGTATAGCTCATCAAAAGTTGTGGCTTGTGATGTACATACACAACACATCCTCTCCAAATCTTGTATTATCAAAGCCACGGTTGCGCTTGTGTCCAAAGCAGATCACATCACACAAGGAGCGGCCCCAAGTTGATCACCAAAGACACTTTTACGAATGTGGTCGGGTCAAAGCATCTTGACGGTGTGACGAAACGAGGATGTAAAGTCACGGCTGACTGACGTGTTCAGGACAAATTATTGGCGAAGAGAAGACTCGAGAGAGACTGGGATGGACCTGGATCTGGACTTTGGCTGCGTTTGAGAATTCTCTATTCAAGTCAGACTGTTTCTAATCATGGGTAGTGTACGTTGAGGTCTTGTCGGGGACCACTGCCACTGGTCCATGCAAAAGTAAGTAACACCGTCGCTAAATGGTTGACGTGAATAGCGTCTATTGTCAAACACGTGAGGAAATGTAATGTTTTCACGTATTTCTTGAGTTTCTTAAGTACAGCTCTAGGAGAAATTGTTTCCAAGGGCCTCTATGTACAGTATCATTTCATCTACATTTGGAACCTGCTCTTTGTAAGGAGTTTCTTTGAAGCCTATTTGCCATTCCCATAGGAAACATTGAGCATCAACTTTGTGGGACCCATCTCAACAGCCAGAAGAAGGATTAGGTAATATAATTTGTTAGATACGGATCATGTGAAAGCCCTTGCTACTAGAAGAGATGATGCAAAGATGAAAGCTGATTTTTCTTCAAGATAGTCATCTGAAGATATGGATTCTCTTTGTGCTACTTTGTGATAGGACAACTCATAGATTGAACTACTTGATTGAAGAACTCTCTTAAAGTCAGGAATTTATTTGAGAAGGCCCTATATATGTGCTAAATTGGATGGTGTTTCGGTTGCAACTTGTGGTAATGGTTGGAGTGTGAAAATATTCAATTAGTCAAGATGTTTTCAAGGTCGAATGTATGTAGGATATTAATTAGGAATTTTGAGCTTCTTTTTCGTTATTTGGAATAAACATTTATGTGTGGGGAATATAATGAATGTCAGATCAGGTAGTTTGTGTAAACATGGATGCCATAAGTACATAACTGCGTTGTACGAAATTAACAGAATGAGAGATATCTTCAGTTGAATCAATTCAATTTATTTAGCATGATCATTTTATATTTACAAAGCAAAATCATCTTAGTGGTAACCATCTTTCTATGCAATATAATCTTTAAAACCGTATTTCTCTAAGTTGTGGATTTCAATTCAAATCACTCTAAAGTCTTGGATTGTATTGCTTTTATGAACTTCTTTACACAATTCAAGACACACAAATCATCTTAATGCCATAAAAACATATGTTTCGAAAGCTCTGTGAGGGGCAAAGCATAGGTGGGGAAGGCTTCCTTTCTACCACTAGCAACTTTTTGACGCTCATGAAACTATCATGTCCCTTACATCCGACCATCTTTGTACTTTCTTCTTCCTCTTTGTATTTGTGCGGGTATTCTTAGTCAAATCAGTATCTTTTGTAAAGTTCATGTCTTGGCTCACTGATGCAGTTCAAAATAATGATTTTTTATTTTACTAATTTTTTTAAAGAGTGAACCTTATGACCATTGGCTCCTCTGCATACCTAACAGCTACACAATCTCGATCAAGTCAAAAACACATAATCTTTTTGGTTTTCTTGTAGCCATTCTGTGCAAGGTTTGAATGGCGTCCATGTGCCCATCGGGTTGTGTATCCTAGCCAGCCTTGTCCTTGGATATCAACATCCGGATCACACTTCTCTCCTTTTTGTTGAATAATTGCAGCATCAACTAGTTTGTGCTTTGAAAGATTTTGAAGCTCGTAACTTTCTTCTCAACTACATCAAAACATTCTCTTATTTAGCAATTGTTTTCTTGTGTTTCTCCGCAGTATATTTGCAAATTTCCGGTATAATTTCCATTCTCTATGAATTCAAAGATAATATTTGATAAGAATATGAATGTATATAAATCGATAAAATGTATTAATCATAAGTAATCAAAAACGAACCTAAAATACCATATATATCTTATATGGTATTGAGATGTCTAAAAGAAAAACTCGTTGAATTTATAAAAGTCAAATTTTATAAGAAAATTTATCATATTTCACTATTCATATCATAAAAGCAATTGAAAAATTCATATTTTAATATCATGTAAAAAAGTGAAGAGATGAGTTTGCAAATCAATGTAAATAAGTTTGAAAACAATGGAAATTGCACAAAGTTATTATTGTTATTTAAGTTAGCATCACAGCAATATTGAAAGAGAGATTTTTTATAACATTTTATACTCCAAGACTTCATTGAATCATCATTTCTTATATTTTAATTACCAGTCAAATTTTACAAATTCAAAAATAATGTGTACATTTCTTATTGTACAAAATATAACCTTCCAAGAGTGGTAGTCACTCGTGGTAGAATTGGACGTCATTATTGGAAAGTATCACTAACAAGAGGAAAGTGACTTTTTATCGGACATTACATCAATCCCAAAACATTTTATGAATGCATTTTTTGGCTGCAAGATTGCTCTCATTTGCTATTTTGTATTGTTCACAATGATCAACGTTGGCTCTAATATTGCGTTCAAATACAAATATCTGCACACATGTTTGATAATACAAAGAACCGTAGGCGTTTGGATGTCAAGACAAAGGTGGCAATATTTAATTGTAACCTAAAGCCATCTATAAGCAAGCAGCATAGGAATTTTTTATTGCCCGTCCAACTTGTAAGGTTGGTCCGCGTCTTTTTAAAATAATTCATCTCACTGTAGTTAGGATTGATCTCTAGTTAGGGTTAGGATTTTTAGCCCTAGTATGATAGGATGAGCACATTTTAATTTAGTCTTACATGTACACTTGGTGGAGAGAGATAGTGAAGAGCTTGGCTAAAGAGGTCTAATGTGTTATTCTTGCTCTAGTGAAGACTATCTCGGCCATGGACGTGGTCTTATGCGGAGTTAAAGTATGTATATTGAAGTGTGATTCTTGTTGCTTATTGTATGTATGAGTACGTCTGAAAAACAAAATTGAGAACCTACACAATTGTATCAAAAATATGGAAAAAGAAATAAATTATTAAACACCTGACATCAAAATTGAATGGAGATGGATATATCATATGGGTATATATACTATATCTATATCAAGTCAAGTGCAACTTCTTACTAACATGTTGCATCAATGACATATGAGGATTTAGATACATTCGTCTAACCTAAATGTGAATTTCGGTATGTTCAAGAACAAAGCTTTGTTTTTTCAAGAGAATATCTAGCATGATTTTGCATAATGTTTAAATTCATGAGTTATAATTTCTCTTCATGCTTTTTCCGGCTAAATGGATGGCTCAATAAGTTTTTGAGTGGCATTTCAAGTTTAACAAGAAAGTTGCAAAAGTACGAAGATTTTTTAAGTAGAGACAGAGTAAACAATGCTAAAGCCGAGGTGACCTCTATCCTTATTGTCTAAAGCTAGCATCTTCCACGAAATGATCTTCCTCCTCCAAGGTTCAATTATAATATAGAGTTAAACCCCTCAATAGTGTCAACTCTTTTGAGTGAAGTAAAATTCAAGAACTATTAATTTCTAACGTGTAAATCTGTTATTATTGAGCAGATTTACACATTAATCTGCTCAATAAGAACGGTACATTATTTTTTCCAATAGTGAGTGAAAAATTTTATCATGATCATATAACATAGTTATGAGAAAAAAATGTGACATAGGGTTTATTTAAAGATCTATATTAACAAATCAGTACTTCTGGGTTTCAGTGAAATACTTTTCTACATATATTGTTATCAGTTGTTACACTCAGAATTTCGCGTATTAATTTGAATTCGTGTACTAATCGTTGTGAACAATATGTGCAAATGAATTCGATTTTGAAACACGTTTATAAAATATCCTAGGACTGATGTAATGTACAATAAGAAATCAATTAACTTTTTTTAATAAATGACATTTCCCAATAGTGATATCTAATTAATTTTTTATACAAAATTAACTACTCCCAATAGTGACTTTCAAGTCTAACACCAATTTATTTTACTATAAATCTTCCATCCGCGACATCTGACCTCAACACTAATGCATATAATTACTAAGAGGTAATATTCAAAATTAAAGCCTCCCGGCAATGATTTTCAACTATAATACCAATGTATGGTACTATTAGTAAGTTATACTCGAGATTAAGCACTTTATTCTTGTGAAGGACACCTCCCGATATTTAAGTAAAACCCTAGAAACAAGTTACGCCACTATTGGGAGGTTTAACTATGTCGAGAATATTTTAATCTTACATCAGAATCTCCTTCGTCAATTCACTTCTCTCAAAATCAGAGAGACTTGCGAATATAAATTTCGTTCATGGCCCATCTGACGTTGACTTACCGAACTCCAAGACAGGAACGAAATCCTCAACGACATAAAAGAATGTCTTCTCGTCTAAACATTAAACCCAGAGATAATGTAAGCAGACTCCGAGGTTCACACCGATACCTTCTGGCTCGTGTGGAATTCACAAGCTCTGCGGCGGGGTACTGTTTCCATGGCCCACCATCGGCAGAGTCGGAACCTTCGGCAGTCAGAGCAGATGCAAGCGGATCGAGCTATGGTGGTCCCCAGTCGAGCCCGGAAGCCTCAGACGACGCCACGTGGACCCTGCGTCCTGCATCCCCAAGCGACCTGTGAGAAGGCCGCATGCAAACGCCATACGCACTTCCGCAGTCAGTATTGTACAGTACTAGAAACGTTCATCACGGCTCTACATTCTAATGGCTTGCTTGCACCTCCTTCTATCCACGAATTCTGGAATTCTGGAGTCAGGATTGATTTATCACTCCTGCAGGACTGACGACGACCGACGACGGATTTCATGCCGGCACATGCGTCACTCTGATCGGGGTCGGGGTCAGTCCAAGGCACACTCGCAGATCTCCGCCCATTCGCTTATAAGGTGCTGCTCCTGCGAGGCATGCCAACATAAGGTTTTCAGCTGAAGCCAACAGGACAAAGGGGAGATGCCTGTGGACAGACGAGCGACAAACTCGTGAAGTTAAGACGAGCTGAGACGAGCCCGGAGCTCGCGTAGTGTGTTCGGCTTGAATCCTGACTCCTCCAGCCCGCACAGGTCGGAATTGGATCGAAAAAGGCCAATTGGAAGACCGTCCCTAAGGAAGTGATCGAGATTAGAGTGAGTGAATTGGGGAGAGATGGAGTGCGGAGCATTGCTCTCGCACGTGCCTCCGAGAGGTCTTCAGCAATTATGGCTGCAGACCACAAGCCCTCCGAAATCTTCTCAGAGAGTGCAGGTGAGGAGAAACCTCCAAGTCCGTGCCGTCAGCACCGAATCTACAACCCTCGAGGGGCTTGCGAGGTCGTCGTGACGAAAATGTGGACGGAGATCTGTACGTCGGTGAGCACCCAATCGACCTCACCGTAAAATCCTTCTCTCTTCTGTGGATCCATCCGGCCGCACGTAAGCAGCTGGCACTCTGAAGGAAGCAGATCAGCTGAACACTCTATTCACATGCTTTTGATTTGCCAGGCGCAGGATGTGAAGGTCCATGCATCGCATTCCTGCACTAAAGTAGCCTTCAACTTCATTATATTCAAACTCCTCGTGTAACAGTTGAATTTAGTCCTCGCCTTCTGTCTGATCTTCTGCCATTTTTCTCAATTGACGGAATCGTAGAAATAGGAGCCTATTTAGGCACATAAGCTGACTGGCTTGTTGCTTGTACAGATCGTTCCTGCATAGATTGCGACACGTGTCGTTGGATGGCTCCGGTGAGTAAGCTCTAGTTCCTGCTGTTTGTGACGGCAGAAACAATGCCCCGCGTACTTCTGAAGTCTTGCGCATGATTCATGGTTTGTGCATGCGAGGTACGCATGGAAATGCTCATCTACCTGGGTTCTTATTACTGTCACAGGAAGTGTTTTCGCGAGCTGGGGGGCACTCTGCTGTGCACAAGCAACCAGCCACACCCGAGGAAAGACTGCGAGCTCTGCAGGTCAGTATGCATGTCGTCTTCCAGGCCACTCGATATGATGTCAACGTTGGGTAGCTTGCGTACTCTCGCGGAGCTTCGGCTTTCAGCATCCTTTTTTGTTTCTGAAGCTTCTACGACAGAAATATGTTCGAGTTTTCAAGTCCATGATGAGGGATGGCTGCTCTTGGAGCTCACTTGAACCTTGTCTGTTTTACAGGCTCTCGTGTCATGGCCTACAGGTTCCATACGCACGTTAACTCCCTCCGAGGATGTTCTGCAGGCTCAGAAAACCTTTCCTCTTTGTATCGATGAGTACTTGCCGGTGAGCATCTGAGGAACGCATTCACTAGTCGATATTTTACAGGAGGTTACGTCATTTGCGTCTATATATTGCTCATATGGACACACGTTGTGATGGAGATTTGTGAACTCGGATTAAGCTTTTGGTTAGATTCAATGTTGTTTTCAACCGTTTCCGTTACTTTGTCTGAAATCTGCTTCCAAAATTGTAATGAAGCCTCTTTGGAGTTGCTTTTCGTCCAACCTAATTGGAGATTTATACTTGTGTAGGGTGTGTATCACTGTGAATTCCACAGCGACAAATCGTTTGGTGCTGCATAGTATTTCATTCAACGACCAGAGGGCAACATACTCGTCGACAGGTTCGATCACTGGCAAACAGTGCTGCGATTGAGTTTGATTTTCCACATTTTATCCGAGACATTATGTAGTGTAAACATCGGAAGAGTTTATACCTTTCATTCCCGCTTGTGTTTGAACGTGGATAAAAGTCCCCATGATTCTCACAGCGAAGATGTCCAATTGAGCTGAAGTTGTTGAACCTTGCTACTTCACGTCTTTGAGTTTGGACATCGCTGGGAGGTATTTTTATGGATCTCTGTTTAAGGTCTCATTCTAGCTAACACACGTTTCCTCTGCAGTCCTCGATTCAATGAGCGTTTGGCAAAGCGCTTGGAAACCATGGGTGGTGTGAAGTATATGTTTCTTACTCACAAGTAAGTCCAGTTGATCAAAAGTCGTAATAGTCGAGAAGCCTTGCACATACTTCTTCATCTCTTTATTGTCTTTTGTCTCTTTTTTTATCTCCGAGCTGCCTAGGTTGCATTTAATATGTATGGCTATAGTTGATCTTCTTTGACAGGAAGCTATTAGCAATGTTCAAAATGTCATGGTCTCATTTGAGGAAAGTCCATGGCAGTGAGCGATTCGTCGTGAATCCACTGCAGTTTCATTCATAGGGTGAAGGCTTTTCTTTCCTGTTCAAAAACTGAAGGTTATCGACGTAACATAATGATCTCGTGCTTATCGGACGGATGATGCATCGAAACAGGGATGACGTTTGCGATCACAAAAAGTGGAAGAAAAGATTCAACTTAACACGTATCATACACAAAATGGAGGTAATAAGCTCTTATCAAGGTCCCGTTTTTTGACCAAAACCGATTCGCAGTAGCCCAAGATATATTGAAATCTAAACTTTCCATTCAGTCGATTTCAAAGATTAACCTCTAGTACCTACTGTATGTTCGCATCATGCACTTCCTCATCGATTCCCGATTCGTTAGATATTGCTTTTCTCCTCGTAATCATGCTCATGGCCGTGTACCCTTGAGTCAAACCCGCGATGCTGCATACCAAAGATTTCCTGCTGGCAGCCACAGTTCTCTGAAGAGAGGGAGAATTGAACGTATGTACAAAATTTGGTTCAGAAGCTGCTGTTCTGCTAATCAGACTAGTGGTCAATGATTTCTGACGTATTGAAACTTCATTTTCCTTGACAGGTCCAGCGGGACACTGAAGACGTCGAGGTGAAACTGGAGGGAACAGGCCCTTGGAATTTAGGATCTGATATTGAGATGATCTTCACTCCTGGTCACTCCCCGGTGAGTTTCTTAGAACTCTTACTGCTGATCATACACTCAGCTTGACAAAGAGATGTTAGAGTTTAAGCGTTGAAAGAGTGTCGATACGTGCACAGGCTGTAACCAACATCGGGGGAATATATTTTCAATTTAATTGATCGGTCCTGCTGGCAGGCACACGTCGTTCTCCTGTTGAAAGACAGACAAGCGCTCTTCACTGGAGATCACATGGGCGCGTCGATGACCAATGAAATCTTCATCGATCAAGTCCACAATTGTTATTCCAGTGAGAATTTGATTCTAATTCAGTTTTGCAGTCAGTTTCGATGGATGAAAATGTAGACTGAATTTCTGACATTTGCGTGTAGTCCCTGGCTTGATTCCATGCGATTATCTTTTTCTTTAAGATTTTGAACATACTTTTTATACTGATAGATAATTGACAGAAGGCTGACTCGTTTCTTTGGACCCTTTACAGTCGAGGAACAAGCTAAAAGCTACGAGCTTCTTCTGCCGAAGGACTTTCTATGGGTTTTACCAGGTCAGTGACGGTGGACTCGTGCTTCAGTTATACGCTCTAAGTATCATAGCCGAAATGTTAGCTAACATCATCGGCACTTACTTCTTGCAGGGCATTGGCGAAGGTACAAGTTCCAAGATCTAGAAGACAATAACACATCGTTAAGAAAGGCTGACGCTGTCGCGAGGGGCGTGACCAATGGCCAGTCCAACTAGGTGCTACTGACGATTCAATGCACATTCTCACAAAGTGAATATAAATCAGCAGGATAGTCCATGTCTGTAAACTTTCTGCTGGTGCTGCTGTACATAGGTGAAACGCAGGCCGGGCAATTAAGGTGCGGCTGTAGTCTTCATAATCACTTGTATAGATGAATGGAATGATAGAATACTATCGATTTTTTAGTTCCCGGTGGATCAGTGTTGTAACTATTCTCTGAGTGCAACGATGGGTCTTCGAAATTTCTCGAAGGCAGTTGTCTTGATCTTCTGTTCTAAATCTGCCTTTTCATGAAATATAGACATTGAAGAAGAATCGCCTGATACAAATACTATAATAGTGACTTCCCCCAGCACAAACGTTACAATGAACAGTAAATCAAAAGGAGGAACAGAATCTCCTACTGCAACTGCGAGGGAAAAAAGTACGCAGTCAATTGTCAACATGCCTATATGTGAATTTGAAAATGTAAACTCGCGACAATGTGATGTAGGGAAGGTCAAATTATAAACTCACTCAGAAATGCTGAGTTAGTGGGAAGAAAAAGGTGAATTGTCTGTCATCATCAAGACCAACAATCTTATTGTGAATCGGCTGCTCAAATTATCCCGGTAAATCTTCTATTTAAAGCCCACTGTCACTCATAGAAACCTCCTCAGAAGGCCTCAGCGAAGAATGAAAAATGTGGAGACTCCATCTTCAACGTAAGTGGAGTAGATGGTCAGTTCCAATCAATCTGGTAGAACGTGTGTAGAAAAACACGCCCATGAGTCTGAGGACTCGCATCGATATTCTGGGTGGGTCCAGAAAATAGATGCGAGGAGAGTAAAGCTCTGCCTGCTGAAGGTCGAAACAATTATGACCCAGCCAAATACAGACCTTTATAAGCTTCAAATTTACACAGTAGCAGAACGAATGGCATGCGACAACATGTCATCGTCCTGAACATTTTGCACTTGGCACCTGCCTGTCAGAGCAGTGTCTTCGTCAGCCGGAGTGATACTGTTGACAAGATGTTAACTCTCGAGCCACCATTCAATCTCACCTTGAGGACCAATTACAGGATGACTCCAAAGTCCGCGTTGCGTGGATTGGGTATCATGCATCACGTGGACGACCATGGTCATGTTTTTGTACGATGGGCATCTAAGAACGATGTCACCACTTTGTACTCTAGGCCTCGGAGTAGCGTTGCTCGTCGAAGGTTCATGCTTCTTCTTCATCGTCTTCTTCTTCCTGCCCTTCTGAAGGATCCGTTTCTGAACAAATCATTGCGATTCTGCAATAATTGGTGAAACTTGACATCTCATGAGGAATCTACCCATGGTTCCTATGATGCGAACATGTACAAAACATCACCATCATGACAATACACGAAGTTCCAAAACCTATTATACTTTACAGACGTAAAATGAAGAGATTTTCCTATCGTTACAACAACGAGGCCTTCTGTTATTACTGTTCTCATGACTTCGAGATGAGAGGTATACTCCTACGCCGAGCAGAATCACAATAACAAGTTTTAGCTTGCCTCATTCACGTATCGCATAGAACAATAAGAAAGCCAATATATAGGCCTAGTCAGATAAGATGTAAATTGACGTAACAAAGCCAAAACGTGAAGTTCTATGCGCAGACTCCAATCTTCCTATTATCCTTAATTCAGTCATTCTCGCAAAGGCTAAGGCTACCAAAGTCCTCCGCTGTTGTCCTTTCCCACTTATCAAACGAAACCTGGTTTTCTGGCGGGTTCGGACGCCCAACATCCGTTCACATGAGTCCTCTCCCAATCTTCATGCGAGCCTTAGGGCTAGGGCCGCAGACAAACCATATCTCAGAAATTCCAAGTGTACCATATGACTGGAAATGACATCAGGAACCAGATGATGATGATGATGCTCGTGCCTCATCTGCTGCTTTTGCATCGGCTTCTTCAGTTTCAGCCGCAAGTTTTGCCATCTCTTTAGCAATGTCTTCCTCTGCCGCAGCAATATCAATACTCTTGGTCTCGTTATAAGGTGCCCCTTCTGCTAGAAGGTATTCAAAACAGTCCATCCCCGCGGCACCAATAGACTTGGCCAGATAAACAGGCGTCAAACCAAATCGATCTTCTCTCGTGAAATTTGCTCCATAGGTTACTAACAGCTCTGATGTCCCGCGTTAAGGAGTTCTTCAAAATGTATTCTTCAAGTGGGAAAAAGGAACCTGATTCAAGCGCCCAGCTAAACGTTCCATCATTGCAGCTGGTACCAGATCTTGACCGATCATGCCAGAGTATAGACCAGAACGTTTTAGCAGACTACAAAACAATGTCACGAATCAGTCTAGGCTAGTCAGCTGTACAATAGCTCCCGTTTCTGCAGATATCTCATCGTCTTGTCAAAAAATAGAAACTGGGTAGGATTTCTAAGCTTACAAGGCCTACCACGATTAACACAGCCGCTTGTAAATTCAGGAACTATGAGGAAGAGCTTGTTCCAGCAGTTTGTTCTGCAAGAGCAGCTTCTTGTGCTGCAGCAAGCTTTGCCATCTCTTCGGCGATCTCTGCCTCTGCCGCAGCCACATCAACTGACTTGGTCTCATTATAAGGAGCGCCTTCACCAAGAAGGTACTTGAAGACCTCTTCCCCTTCAATACCCTTGTTCTTAGCCAGAAAAAGAGGCGTCAGACCGTAGCGATCCTCCTTACAAAAATCAACCCCGTATGTAACTAGCAGTTCTGTAAGACCCTGTCAAGGAATATCGTGGAGATCACTTGCGGGAAGAATAGCGAAGGAACTTATAAGAAACGGCATGTTTTTTCTTTAACCTTTGAAGGTGATCTAGTCCCAACAACCAGTTGATGCTCAGCTCTTCGGTCCTTATCAGCACAGCAGAAAGGATACTATCCACTGCAGCCAGTGCTTGAAGATGGTCTGAAGTTTGAGCACAGTTTATGTGGATTATCATTTAATATACTGGGGCCACATGCATGACTCACTGGTGTGGAAATCCTCTCCTTTCCCGGTCTCCTAGAACATACACTACTGGTGTTGCGACCTCAGCTAAAGGTGGAATCACGTTTTCAATATCAGAGCTATGGCATTAATCAAGGATACTGACTATCGGAAGGTTGCCCGCTCTGGCTGCCCAGTGGATAGCTGACCTGAAAGATCATGCCCGTCATGACTATTAGTTTTATCTCCAGCAGACTCTAAAACAAGATGAGGACTCTTTCACCTGCAGAAGGTTTTCAGTGCACATTCATATCAGTAAGTAACGATTTAGGTGATTCGCTTTTAGGTGAAGCTTTGAATAGCTAGAATTGCGGAAGGTGATCCAGTTGACGCATTTCCTTTCAACTGCAAACTACAACCTACTTAGGCCAAGGAAGTACCGTTCATATGAGGAAGCTTCTGTTCACAATATTTCATTATCTTACATTCGAATTGTTGTTTCAGAGTTATGGATGTCGGCAATAAGTCTCGGGTGTTGAGCTGGAAGGTTGGGATTTTTGCCTGCCAGTGTGATTGTCTGTGGCATGAATGTTCGCACTAAGGCGGATCAGCGTCTCAATAGCGTGAAGATGTCCACAGTCAGCAGCCCATATAAGAGCTGTCCTTCCATATCGATCCTACATATTGCAGTTATCAAGTATATTCTCAGCATGGCTCAAGACAACTTGGGATTTTAAAAAAAATTTAATTACAGGTTACAGCTTCCAGATTACTGTTATCTTCGGTCCTTAGTCGCGGGCAATATCCTAATTAGAAAACAAGCGATTCTATTTTAATCGTCCAAGGACAACTGAAGCTGAGCATCAGGCTGTTTGGGCAACTTCCGATGTCCAAAATACCAGGGCTGATGAACACAAACTCAGAGCTGAAGAACGTCAGCAGCCAGAGGTTCAAGCTGAAAGAATTTGCTGTTGCAAATCCATCCATCTGAGTTTCAGTAGATGGAGCAGACAAGCACCGACGGTTTTCACGCGTGTGTCATACATGACAAACCCACAAGAAGCTCTCGAAAGTATGCCTCGTCATCTCCTATACAGTCGACGCTTCAAGGAATGTGCTTCTCTCACAAAAGGACGGACGTACTGACTTTCTTGAGATTGAGTACAGCTTCAAGAAGAGCGCCCGCAAGATAGGTTTATGAAAAGCCAGAGCAAGGAACTAATTCAATAACTTGCAAGCGTTCAAAAGGTTAATGTACTCGAATCTCCCGACATGTATGAACCGCTAGCACCCCACCCATCTGAAACTGGTACAGCTCATAGCACTTCTATTCCCAGGATCAGCAGGTACCGTCGATTGATTGAAAGGCTACCAAAGGAGAGAAAACGAAGAGACCTTAGCGTCGACATCAAAATTCTTCACTTTCGAGAATTTAGTGATGGCGCGGTTATCTCCATTTTCCGCAGCATCAAACACCGTGAGAATCTCTCTCTTCACAGCTTTCAAATCATAGATGGAAAATCTGTTCTGCGGAGCCTCGACGGAATCGGGCTTCTCAAGACTCAGATGCCTCGTCGACGTTATGGCATTCGGCGGACCGAGAGATGCGAACACTTTCGCTCCGGGAACCAGCGGCTTCGACGCCGCTTTCGGCGGGAGAACTGGGGCCTTTCCAGCTTCGCTCGCCGCGGGCTTCGACGGAGGAGCCGCATTCTTATCCGGAGAACTCATCTCGAAAAAATCGATGGCTCACTCGATCGACCAAATCTGAATAACCATAAGACTACGAACGCTCCGCCCGATCAAACCGGCGAGCAAGGCCACGAAACCTCGACGCAGAAGAATCCGAGAAACTCATCGTGAACGCAAAGCTCCAGCCGATCCGCTGATGGAATTGCGCCGAAGAACAAATGCCGATCGAGCGATTCCGCCACTCTCGAGGCAACGGAGCAGCGCTGCGCAAGATTCTGCGGAATGGCGCTGAGCGCGGCCGAGCGCCACGGCAAAAGGCACCGCAGCCAAAGGGCGGCATTCGCTCGAATGTTCCGATTCAACGGACACGTGCTGCACCGGGACTTAGTACTATAGTCCCGACGGACTCCATCCCTCCCTTCGAGCTTTCCGCTTCTTCCGTTCCGCCATCGCCTCGATGCCCGGCCCCTCCGTCCACTTGCTCCGTTGGTCGCCCAACGACAAACTTCCTGCCCTCCTGCCTTCCTGCCTGGCAACGTGAACTGCCTTCGTGGGCTCCGATAGGTGCACACAGATGTGTAACTAAGAACTATTGTAAAAAGGATCATCCTTATTTTTTAGTTACACATTTCCATCGGAATTGAAATTTCCTATTTACTATGTTCATTATTCTCTTGATAAACTTCAGTCTATGAAGCTTTTCAACTACGAAATCCATATGGCAGCCCTATTAGTACAACAACGAGAAACATATCGAACACAATCTTTGGAGAAGATAGTTCTGGGCCAATAAGTACTGGAACAAACAATTCGAGCATCCCTAAGCATTGACTAACATGGTTCTTTTCATATTATTTGCATGAGTTAGTGCTTTACTTAAAACGATCTAACCCATTGCTTACATTATACTATTAAATAAGGTGTGGAGAGTGATAATGTATGTTCACACCCTCACGAGTATGTCAAAGGCTGGAGTTTGTAGTTTCATCCAATTTCAGAGGTAGCTAACAATGGGGTGAACTCTATGGATAGTCCGGTACTGTACTTAGAGACTTGAATGGATGACGCTTCACTCACCGCCCATCAATGAGGATGGCAAATCATTACATTGAACGTTGTCTTAGTTTTTCTTCCCAAACCAAGTATGTAACTATATATTAATTTTTCAAAATCAAATATAGGATTTTCCTTGTGATAGATTGATAGGCTAACAATGCTCTATCCACGTGATGTATCCATTCTTTCCCATTGCAAAGAAAACAGTGTTTTATTCATCATGAATACTTATTCTATATCTTTCCATACGCAACTTGAAAATTGTTTGCTAAAAGCAGTACTTAAGACGTAGATGGATGCAACAAACCGAGATGTACACTTCTTTATATAAAGATCATATCTTGCGTGAGTAAGAACTTTTGATGTTTGTTGGAGTCAATATCCAAAAGCTTGAAACATTTTCAATGTTGTGTAACAAGATAGAAGATGCTTCATTATTCCTAAATGAAATTTCATAATTTCTTTGTTACTTGTCTAATCTTACAAGTTCTAAATTTTTTGAGGGATATTAATTTATCTTGCCATACGGATGTAAAGTTTTATGATAGTAGCCTAGGATGTGAAGTCTAGTATGCAGTTCACATAGCCCTAAAGACAAGAAACAAATGCAATCTGCTATAAAATCTAGCTAATGTTTATGAAGTTATGATTGCAAATTTGACATAGTAATAGAAAATTACACAATTGCTTATTAAACTAGAAACATGTTTGATTAAAATTCTAATATTATTATTGTACCATTTTAGTCAAAAAGATTTACTTGCTGAAAAAAACACACTAACTCGAAATATACAAGGCATTCATGTGGACTTACTTCAAATGTAATTTTTGTATTTATTAATTTTATAAATATAGAATTATTGTAGCAAATATTTTGCATCACGATGCTATCAAAAAAAAATACTAGTGATGTCTTCGTATTTTTTGACCTTAATGACATCTTACATTTATTTTTTCATTTGACAATAACACACTCTATTTGAAGTTATTCCAGCAAATAAAATTAAAGATAAGAAATAAATGATTGATAATATGGATAGTTGATACATACTTTCACTTCAATCAAAATTTTTTTAAATATGTTAGAAAAATTGACTAAACAACATTTATATTGCTGGTCAATTTTCAAAGTTTCATTTGGTTGATTTGTGTGCATCATTTAACGACTTAGTAAATTAGTCTATGAGTATAAATTTGAATTTTCTTTGAATAAAAATAAGTTTAATACAAATTAAGATCAAAAAACTATGACAAGTATAATCTTTGACTAAATCAAATTTTAAAATATTGATTTGATCTTGGAATTTTGATTTTATGCACGAGTTTTATTTAAAACCTTTGGTATTTAGAATAATTTTTATTTTGATATTTATTTGTACATACACTCAAATTCAAAATCTTATCTTTTATTGAATCAAATTCAATAATTATCTTGCAAATTTTCCACATAAATTGAAAAGACCTGACAACATTTTATTTATTTCTAAATTTTTGAACCATTTAAAAACAGGTATTTGATTATCTGATCACATCAAACTTTTCGCACATCTTCTAACTATTTACAAGTTCTTATTTCAAATGTCAAATAGTACGCAAGAGCTTTATAAAAGGTTTAAACAATCTTATAAATTTGATTAAATGCATATACTGATTAATGATTTGATCAAGTAAATTGCAGATACATCTAATGATTTATTTTAGGTCATATTTTTCTGTTATATGTTATACTCAATAAATTAAAAATCAAATTTTAATTTTAATTTTCCATTCTAAAAATCTGAATAATAATATACAGATTGCAAATAATATTTTGTGTTATAACGATAAAATGATATCTTCTCACAAGGAATAGTGATGACATGAAACCTAAATGTTGATAATTATGACTATGAGCAAGATTAAGTCCATATTGCATAATCTACTATGCAATATACACCTATGTATCTTCAAATATGAACATATGTTAAAATTAAAAAATACAAAGACATTTAAATTGGAGATTATTTTTTTCAAAGACAATACATTTTTATCACTATGATTAAAAATTTATTTGTAATAGGATTTGTATTTCAATCCATACATAAAATTTTGTAAGATTATTTATAAGAAGGAAAGTTGAACGCATTAGTCAAAGGCATATTCACTTGTACAGCTTATGCACGAAGTAGCATACGTACAGTTACAACTGACATATGCACTAGACATATGAGAGCTACGTACACATAACATCTCGGGCTTTACAAATATGTAATAAAAAATTCACCAAAAATATTTTTATATATTGACAAGTTAATCGATTTCACTTACTAGGATGAACCTAATCTGAACTACCAAAAAAGTTATATAACATTGTTGTTCAATCTTATTGTAGTATAATATCATATGTTAATCATTAAAATGTATATATATATATATATATATATATATATATATATAAAGATAAAGGAGCTCATTTTTCAAACATCAGTTATTTAATTTTTTTCCAGTGATTTGCATTATGTGTTTATTTTTTATTTTATGAAAATTTGTTATAAATTGTTCATAAAGTATTTTACAATTTTTTCAATTCATATATTTATTTCAGTATTAATATTAATACAATTTGGAAATATTTTATTTACTTGAAACATAATCATTTTTTTAAAACTAATGATATGAATCATGATTAGATTTATGATGCCACATATAGGTACAAGAAAATTGTGAAAGAGAGCAAATAAAATAATCTGTTTTAAGTATAAATTAAAATTTTAGTAAGAAAGATAAATCATTTTGAAATTATAAAAAAATAAAAAAATATCTTTATTGTGATTAATTTTCATTCAATAGAATATTTTTATGAACAAATTGTTAAAATTAATTATGTGCTACAGATTTCTTTGTTTATTTGATTGATTCATCAAGGTAATAAATAAATAAATAATTCAATCTAATAAAAAAATATATTTTTAAAGTACATAGACAAGTAATAAAAAATAACGTCTAATCCAATTGATATGAACAAAGTAAATACTATTTCATCTTATCTGAAACCATTAACGTTCATTATCATTGTTTTCAATATTAGAGAAACTACCAAAGTAGATGATATGGGTATTTTTAGTATGTCCAACCTATTTTATATAAGATGTCTACATGGTTTCATACAGAGCATTAACTAGGCAATCCACAAGAAAGGAATCTCGGGATATGATTCTTGTTTGGATGCTCTAGACCGCTGTACTCAAAAGCTTGGATAAATTACGCTGGCATAGTGATGATATTGCTACGTTTCTTTCATCCATGATCTATTTAATAGTGTATTCCATCCCATTTCGTTAGTTTACTTTCTACTTCATCGCGAATGTACCATACCTTTGTAAGCAGGGAGTGATAAATTTGAGTAGTGAGTCAAACGAATCAATTGTCGAGACGAACCAAGTCAATTTAGCCAAGGAACAGAAGGGGAATGGGTTGGAACCTGGGGTTTACCGAATGCATCTTTCTGCACTTTCCAGTTACCTAAACCCTAACCCTAATAAACACGCCCCGTCCCTGCCCTGCTGCAATTCCGTGCCCCGTGCTCGCGTGATCTTGCTCGCTGGGGACGAAGCTGTCGACGACACTGACACCCCACGGGATAAGGCCTTTCCCGAGAGAGGACGGACGGACGGAGCTAGGGGTTTGGAACGTGACAGCATCTCGTCCTCCCCCACAGAGATCTCTTGCTCTCTCGATACCGATTGCGCCCTCGAGAAGCGACGTGCGTGGCGAATTCTCGTGGATGTTAAATTCGTGGTCGGGCCAGATTTGGTTTCCGGATGATTGAAGCTGCTGGGAGGTGTAGAAGGTCGTTCCGGATGCAGTGTCAGTCCTCGTCGTGGGGCTTCACCGTCAGGGATTCGGTTTCTCTGCAGCTGCATGTTCTTCGAAAAGGGATTCGGCGGAGTAGATTTTGACCGAGGTGGAGCAGAGGAAGAATTGCGCGCAGTGTTCCGGTATGAGGGAGCGGTGTACTTTCTAGCGCAGGAGCACTTCTTCTGATGACGACAGGAGCGATGGCTTTACAGGGCGTCATGGAGCTCAGGGGCTTAGCGATCGTGTTTCATACTCCCATCTCCTGTAGCGGGAGAGGGAATTGCTGCTCCAGGGTGCAATTCGCAGACGCTCCCGGGGCGGGTTTTCTGAATCAGATGAAGAACAGAGGAGATGGAAGACCAGTTGCTGGAAGGGTTGTGAAATGCGTCCAAGCCGTGGCAGAGGGGCCTCCTAGAGTAGACAGATATGAAAGAGGTGTAGAGGACAGGATCCCGGATGCGTCGACTTCGAATGTGGATCCATTTTACAGTGCTTCTCTCGCAAAGCTTGTGAGGAGAGTGAATCTTCTGCTGGAGCGAGTGTATCCGCAGAGTAGTATTCCAGATTGTTTGAGTGAATTGCATTTGAAATTCATAAGTCCGTATCTAGTACGAGAAGTACTGAAGAATCAAAAGGACCCTTGGCTGTCGCTTGCGTTCTTCAGGTGGGCAGAAAACTTTCCTGACTACAAGCATCCTCCAGACACATATGTCGCGATGTTTTACAAGCTTGTCAACTCTAAGGAGATTAGTAAGCCCGGGAATATGGAGGAAGCCAGAGCATTGTTGACAGATATGAGTCAAAGAGGCTGGAACGTTAGTTGCATCTACTTCAACATTTTAATTAGTAAAATGTGCAGGTTGGGACAAACTGAGGCGGCGAAGAAGCTCCTCGAAGAGATGATAGAAGGAGGTCCCTCACCTGATGTAATCACCTATTCCACTTTTATCAGCGGCTTGTGTAAGGCTGGCCAAATAACGGAAGCCTTCCAAGTCTTTGACACAATGAAGGCCAATAATTGTGCTCCGAACACAATTACCTACAATACTCTCATTCACCACGTAGGGAAAGTCGGTCGGGTTGGGGATGGATGCAAGCTTTTTCAGGAGATGAAGAACTCAGCTTCTCGTCCGGATTTGGTGACGTACACTTGCTTGATTAGTGGACTCTGCAAGGCCGGTAGGATAGAAGAAGCTCTGCACAAGTTCCATGATCTCAAAACTGAGGGTTTATCTGCAGACGTAGTAATCTACAATACCTTAATGGATGGCTTAGGCAAGGCCGGCAGGACAGAGGAAGCAGGTGAACTGTTAGGGATGATGAAGGCGAATGGGGTAAAAGCTGATCTCGTGACCTACAACACGTTGATTGATGGTGTGGGCAAGGAGGGGAGGATGGACATGGCATTCAGCTTCTTCGAGGAAATGAAGGCGAGGGAAATTGAACCTGATGTAGTTACTTACAGTATTTTGATCGACGCAGTTGGTAAAGCAGGTCATGCGGAGGACGCCAGCCAGCTCATTGACGAAATGCTCGAGTTAGGATGCGCACCCAACTTAGTAACATGGAATTCGCTCATCAACGGGCTTGTCAAGGCAGGTCAAATCGACGAGGCGGAGAGGGTGTTCAACAAAATGACCGTCAATGGCTGCGTTCCGGATGTTGTTACTTACAACTCTCTCATAGATGGCCTTGGCAAGTCTGGCAAGGTTGAGACCGCATGTCATTTGTTTAAGGAGATGAAAAATAAGTCGTGCACTCCGGACCTAGTTACTTACAATTCACTTATTAATGGCCTTGGTCGGGCAGGTTATGTTGAGGAGTCTTACAAGCTTTACGGGAAGCTAACTAACAAGGGGTATCCTCTGGATGTGGTCACGTACAACATTCTAATAGACAGCCTAGGCAAAGCGGGCTTAGTGGAGGCAGCCTGGGAGGTACTCGCGGAGATGAAGGCAAGGAACTTTGAACCTGATGTCTTCACTTACAACACGCTGATCAACGCCCTCGGCAAAGCAGGCCAAGTGGCTGAGGCGTGTGAGCTTTTCGAGGAGATGAAGCAGAAGAAGTGCGTTTCGGATGTTGTCACCTACAACACCCTCATACACGGACTTGGTAAGGCTGGCTTTGTTGATAAGGCTTGGAAAGTTTTCGAGGAAATGCAGGCAGACGGTTGCGTGCCAGATGCTCTCACCTACGATTCTCTTATTCACTGTCTGAGAAAGGCAGGAAAGACGGACTTGGCTTTTACAGTCCTACGGGAAATGGAACGGAAGGGTTTTCGGGCTAAAGCAGTCGTAATTAACAACGTCATCAACTCCCTTGTTCGATCTGGACAGGCAGAAAAAGCTTCAAAGTTCCTAGACGTCTTGAGATCTAAAGGGTTTGTTCACGTTAGTCCTGAGAATCATTGCTTAGAGTCGGCCTACCGTGATTCAGCTGATCAGATTACTTTGTAAGATTTGTACAATTGAGGCAAAACTGGAAATGGTGACCATGCTTTGTCTGTGAACATTTCAAATCATGAAAGTATGCTTGTACTTATAGTTTAGCGGGGTGTCATAGCCCCTTTATAAAAACAATCAGGACATCAGGATACCTACAATTTCGGGGACTCTACATTGGAGCTGACCCCTCCTGTAGCTGGTGTGAGACTCACGAGGACGGATGAGAAGCTGATCAGCGATGGAACCAGTCGCTGGTAGGACATCGCTTGTTATCTTGGGGTACGGGTGAAGACGGTGCAAGCACATACACAAACAGCTTGAACATGTCAGTTGGTTAGTTTGTCATTGTACTGACGTTTTCAACCCTTGAGGTGTACTAGTAGAATATAACCAAGAGAAGTCGATGGATTTACGCGTAAATGGGTTGCCTTGTTGTTGGCTTCTGAAGTGAGTCATCAGCTACAGGAAGTTCTTGTGCCACTAGCTAAACAAGATTCCTTACACGTACACGACGGTCAGCTTATATCATATTCAACTTCTGAATTGGCATTCAGGAACAGTTGCAAATTTTTCTGACATGTCAAGTCACACCCTGTCCTGTCTAATTTGTTGATTAGCGGTGCGAGCTTATAGTTGACGTCATTTTGTTCAGGCTCTCATCTGCTGCAGGGTGAATCTTGGATCTCGTTCTAATATAAGTACGTAAGCTCATTTTGTAATCTATGTAATCAAAAGCTAGTCCTATTCCCCGTGTCTTCAGAAGAATATCAGACTGTTGGAGAAGATTTGTACCTGAAATTGGATATGGAGACAGGTGTGTTGGACCGATTCAGACCAGTGATGTGATTTCAGACCAGATGATCCTCAGGGGGATCTCGTTCCATGTACTTGGCTGCTTGGACTTGTTTTGTGTCGTACTTCCTGTTTGGTGGCCGAAGCTAGATACTGCTTGTAATGTCACGAGGAAAAGGTTAGCACTTACTTTTCAGCACACACAGCTATGAACTCGAGTTTAGCACAAGTTTAATCAGCGAGCGAAACAAGAGTCTAAGCACTGATCTTGGAGCTTAATGGGCGTATGCAATCTGAACTTTGTTGTAAACGGGTGTAAGGAGGAGATTCGTTATGTTTCTTCTCGTAATAAACATGGCCGTGGCCAATATGTGAGCCCTCGGAATACGGTTCCGATCCTCATGGATTTTCCTGTCATGGTATTCAGGTCCAATGGTCATCTTATCTCTATCGCCCCAAGAAACTGCCTATCTAAAGTTAGTAGATAGGTAGTTCCATTTTGACAATTAGCAAAAACATCAATTATGATAGCACAACCTATTTTACTGTTGCCAGTATTTATACACTGAAAGTTGTCTATCGCCTCAATGGACTGAAGGCAAAGAGTGAAAAAACGCGAGTGTAGAGATTTTGAGAGCTACATTTGAAGCCGATGGCAAGAGGTGGTTCAAGAATTGGCATGTCACACGGAAGAATTGTGAAGATTAATTATATGACAAAAGCACTGAATGGAGAGAAAAACAATTTAGCCAACGGTAAAGCGTGAAATTAGAAAACAAAATTTAAGATTGTACATGCATGATCATGGTGATGACAGAAATATCTAAGTAGCAGCTAACTAAATGAGTTAAATGATGGAAATCTTGGAAAGTTGAATCGAAAGAATCTTGTTTTTTTCTTCATCAACCATCGGATTTGAATTTAACTTCGCTGTTAGAGAAATTTTTAATTTGATATGAAAGATGGATAACATAGGAAAATGACTTAAGTCAACAAGTCATGTTGAATGAAAAAAATTCCAATCATATCATCTTATAGTCACCATTCCTAACATACAAGTTATACATTTCATTGTGTTAAAGGTATGTTCTACCTAGAATGGGATACAAAACAAATACAAGGAGTCATAAGAGCAAGTTAAACCTTTAGAAAAATAACATTGAATTTCAAATAGGCTATTCACATTTCACCCGATATCTTTTAAAACAAGAAAAACTATTCCAAGATAAATGTGTAGTGCAATATATATATATATATATATATATATATATAATTGTGCATAATTTTGGGAATTTAGATTTTTTTTGCAAAATTAAAATTTCTTGTATTCGAGGCTCAAGCTTGTATATTTATTCTTGTAAGTTGACTCAAGTTTGTAAATTTAGTCTTGAAGAATATGGTGTATATGTGTATGGTTTAAAAAAATTGAGTGTGATTCAGCTTTACTTTTATTGACTCAAGAATTAGTACTAATAATATTATTTAGAACAAATAGTCTTGTTTAGAATTGTAGTTAGAGATTTTAAGCATGTTTTGTTTTTCAAAAAAGATATCAATATTTATGAAATATGATGAATATTAAATTTAAATTTTGGTTTAATAAAATTTTGGATATTTTCATAATAATATGCTATGTTGAATATATAGTTGTGCATTTTGTAATAAATATAAACAACTTTATCATGTTGTTGCTTAACTAAATGTTAAATTAAAAAGAATCTTAAACTATCATTTGTAATGAATAAGAAGAATTTTATTTTAAAAATAAAAATTAATAAATTCAATCTCATGAATATGTTGACTTCTTTTGACTTTGAAATATAGTTCATTGATACATATAGATGAGAAATATCAAATCTATGTACAATACTGACTGTATACATTTAAATCAATACAAAACTAGTTTTAATTAAAAAAATTCATTTGTATGTTATTTAATCCTCACATTTCGTGATACTTATGTTAATGAAAATCAGTAGAAAAAATTACATAAAAATTTATTCACTCAATAGAATATCATTTTAGTTATAGAAAGAAAATTGGAACATAAAATTTTTAAATTAAATTGTGTATATCATTTAAGCTTTTGTAATAAATTTGTGTAATTTGCATGTCATAATTCGTATCGATTCGTTCTCAATTATGAATAATAAAAACTAATTCGTTAGAACCATTGCATGTGCATTTGATGTCATATTACTTATTTTCAAGCAATTTTTATGTTGATAATCTATATTCGTCAATTTTTATGCAAAATTGTTGTTAAACTCTGTTTGACACATCATTTGAAAATAAGATATAAATAGAAATATTTCATTGCAATAATTATTATCATTATTTTTATATAGGTATATTTATTTGAAATTGAATGTATGTTGAACTATTAGTAAAAAATTACTGTGATGTATGATATACTGCTCAGAAATATTGTGTTGATGAGGCCAAAGTTTTTCAAACTAATAAAAAATAAATATTCTTCAAAATAACGGACCTAATGACATAATAAGTTTGATAAGTTTTAGATAAATTTTTGTCGTAAGATAATCAATAAAAATTTAAATGAAGAATATTATAAAAGAATCTAAAGACATTTTTCTATAAAAATGATGTGAGCTTTCGTTCTAAGTATAATTTTTTAGAATAATTAAACTTAAAATTTTATCTAGATATTCATAATTATAATATAATGTATTAAACTATGATTATGATATACATAAATCAGTAATATAAAAAATATCTAACATTGTGCCAAAAATGTTAAACAATTCGAGTCAAATTATCAATTTATTACAAGATCATCTTAAAAAAATTTTCAATTATTCTTTTGATTATTTATTATAAATGACTTATAATACGATAAGAAACATTATATGTAAAGTTTTTTCTCCATTGTCTTGCAATTATACCAATATGAACAAGAGAAAAGCGAATAGTGAAGAAGAAGACCCGAGAGCAACGGAGAAGAGGATGTACACAAAAATGGGCATTTATCGGGGAGATGAATGGGGCGAGTCCAGGGGCAGGGCCCACAGGCAGAGATTCGGACTTTGGGAAACAGCAAAGGGAACGACATTGGAATCAGCTCTCCCTCCGGAAATGTAGACAACGACAGAGCACAACAGGGAACAGGGACACAGCAGGTTCAAATTTCAAGCTGCCGCAGCAAGTGGCTGCTCGGGGTTTTCCACCAATAAACCCTACGACACTCGCGCAAGCTCCGAGATCAGAAGCTCCTGCAGCTGCCGGAGTTCTGCCCTAAGAGCAGCACGTTCCGTTCGGTCGGAAGAGGAATTGCAATTCGGAGCCAGAGAGAATTTGAGCTCGGAGACGAGGAAGAGCCGAAGGGGCCAAATGGGTGGAAGAGGCAGGGGAGGGTATCGGGGTGGAAACAAGAGAGGTCGCACCCAGAGGCGCGACTTCAAAGATGGTCGCCCGAATGTGTGGAAGAAAGCTCGTCCGGAGGGAGAGCCTGGTCCGGACGGTGAGCGAGGGTGGCAGCCATTTGTCACAGAAAGTCAGGCTTATGATAAGTACTACAAGGTTCGTTTTCTGTTTCTCTGTCTTTATGTGTTGAATTTGAATTCTCATTGGATTTTATGCCTTCGTCAGCTCCCGCCGACCACATGAAGTGGGAAAGTTCAAAATTAAGTGGAATCTTGTTTTTTATCCCCTCCTTCATCGCTTTTTCTGTCCAATTTATTCTCGATCTGCTGGACGGTTTATGTGTGGAGCAGAAGCAGGGTGTTGTACCCCCTGAAGAATGGGATCTTTTTATCGAAACTCTTCGGAAACCTCTTCCGACATGCTTTCGTATAAATGGAAGGTACACCAAAATTTCAACGAAAATTCTTTTGAAAATGTAGCACATTGTGTTACTTCTCTTTGTTTCTTCAATGTCGATGTCATTTTAATGATATGAATGTCCAACGGAATTGACATGACATGTGACTGCTGTAGCAGTAAAAGCAAATTTCTCCTGGACATTTTGCGAGGTTTAAGCTCGACATCATTCTCTAAATTTTTGAATGTCTTTCATTTCTGCCATTGTACTGCAGTGGGCAGTTTGCACAAGATATCAGAGATCAAATGCAACATGATTTCTTTGATTATTTGAAAGAGGGCGTGGAGGTATCATCTCGTCTCATCACTCTGTCCTCAACTGCCATTTACCTTCTTCTGTGATGAATTCTAACGAGGTTTGAATTAAGGTCAATGTATGTCATTGACTGGGACATAATCCCACATCTCATAACAAGCAAATTAGAGATGAGGAATGTACTTGCTTTTAAGAGTCTTACTTGTTGCTTGAAATTCCCATATGTTTGAATTGCTCAGATTTGTTAACTATGGAAGTGCACGTTGTAGAACCCGTGGGTGGCTTTGGTACGGAAGCTGCTGAAGAAGCACATGTGTCTTGGCTGCCCTCAGATCGGCTTGTATTTTGTTACAACTTCTGCGCTGTGTTTCAGGTTGACGGGGAAATGTTAGAACCTATCAAGCCCCTCGAGTGGTACCCTGGCCAACTCGCTTGGACCTTAAGTTTTTCGAGGATGCAACTTCGAAAGATGCCAATTTTGGAAAGGTCAGGATCTCCAGATGACTTCGGAAGAAGAAATACAATACATGGACCTTAAAAAACAGGACCATTTCGTTTGGCTCTGAATATGTAATTTTCCCATGATCTTTCGACTGAAGGAAGAATGGTATACTTTGGCTTCCAGTAACCCTCCAATGTCTGAATGAAGACTCTCTGTTTGTGCAGGATACATGAGTTCCTGAAGCAAGAGAACGAGATAGGGAGTATAACCAGACAGGAGGCTGTAAGCATGGTGAGTTCGCTATCATTGGACGCTTTGTTGATATCAATATCAATACTGGAGATGTCTGGATTTCAGCGCTCATATTGTATGCTCTTGTCTACACGACTCACGTCATGCGTTCTATTGTATTTCGGCTAGTGTATTGTACAAACATCAGATAAGCTCTTGAGTAGTTGGGGTATGCTGCATTTTATATGCACCTGGTGTTCAGTGCTACATGGATTCCAATCACACTTGTATGATCAGGCTACACAGAGTCAACTGTCACAATTGGTGCCATAATTTTATTCCTAAAAGTTGTCTGACGGAGTCGTCTGATTTATATTTTTTTCTCAGCTGCCGCCACTCTTTTTGAAAGTGGAAACTCATCATCGAGTTCTTGACAGTAAGATTGTCTGCTCCAACAGACACTTGCATGTGTAGGTAGGTGGTTTCCTGTTGTAAATTTCAAGATACTACATGTTAATGACATAATCTTCTGTGTACCTTGAAGCCAAGGAGTTACTGCACACATTAGTTAAGAGATTCGCGCAACCTTTGTACAGTATCATCCATTAAAATATTACTGATTATGTACTGATTATGAGCATCAGATTTAGAACCAATGATAATCATATGCTTGTCGGAAATGGTAATGTTCACAAATGTCTCTACCGTACCTGCCTTTCTCAAATTCCTTTACGTTGTACGTCCAGTGTGTGCAGCTCCTGGATCCAAAACCTTTCAACTCTTGGAGATGATCCACAAGGACGACAAACCAGGATGTTCTCCAGAAGGCCTGGTTTGTCAATATGCCTTGCCTTCGCAGTTTTCCTGAAGTTACTGTCTGTTTTCTGAGGGAAGATCTACTATGTTAGTGCGCGATTCATAAGTTTCGGGAGGTAGACTTTTGAGCTAGACAAACTCTTCGCAGATCGGTCGTGTTTCTAACGTTTCTTTCTTCCACACGGCCAGTACATTCTCCGCTAGAATATGCCTGTGCATACCCATCGATATCCTTATCGGGAAGCTTAATGGGTTTCTGGTTTTGTAGGTCATTGCCAACGATCTTGATGTGCAACGGTGCCATCTTCTCATTCATCAAACGAAGCGAATGTGCAGTCCCAACATACTGGTGACAAATCATGAAGCCCAGCACTTTCCAGGACTGAGGAAGAAAGGAAAAGAATACGCTGCTTCGTTGAAGAGCGGGGATGGAGTAACTGGTGATGCAGCTGACGAGGAGATGGGTCTGCTCTTTGATCGAATATTGTGCGACGTCCCCTGTAGCGGTGATGGAACCATACGAAAGGCTCCTGACATCTGGAAGAAGTGGTAATTTTTTTGCACTTTGTTATGTGAGTAAGGCCCAGTGTTCATGTACGTCTGGCTCCGCGACAGTTCTGATATTTCCGCATGTAAGAAGTATCGGTTTCTAAGCTTTTTGGACTGGTCTTTGGCTGTGAGCAGGCATTGCGGATTGGGCAATGGCATTCATACCTTGCAGATACAAATCGCAATGCGAGGTAGAAAGCTTTCTGTGATTCACATTCTTTTATCTCCTTCGTCAGTAGTTTAAAATTTTGTTTCTTGGTGAGAACAGCTCTTTGAGGTAGACTTAGTAGAGTAGAGAGACTACCTCGTGAGGTTTAGCTGGCTCTAAGGGCAGTGCTTGTGTCAGTCCCTTGTGTTGACGTCTTGGGATATATTGCAGGTGTGGCGCTTCTGAAAGTGGGTGGCAGGTTGGTGTATTCAACATGTTCCCTCAATCCGGTAGAAGATGAGGCTGTGGTCGGTGAGGTGCGTGGTCAGAAGATATATTTACTCCATGCGAATCTGCTATTTCAAATAGAAAGAAAGTTTCAAAGTTACATTTTTTATGAGATAATGACTGTCTGTCCAATATGTATCGCAGATGCTGCGACAAGCCGGCGGTAGTTTAGAACTTCTTGACGTATCAGATGAGCTTCCTGGGCTAAAATGCCGGCCAGGGTTGAAATCTTGGATGGTAAGTCTTCAATCTTTACTACATTCAGTTAATAGTAGGATCTTGAATGACCACTGTGAAATTTGAAGAAGACGTGGATTTCGATAAAACTCCAATCTAACGACGGAACAATTTTCAGGTCCGAGACAAACGAAGGTGGCTGTGCTCGGCGTCCGACGTTGACCGGCACCGGGCAGGAGTAATAGTTCCTAGCATGTTCCCTTCCGGGAAGGGTTGGGATCAGTCTTCTCCGGAAGAATCGGAGAACTTGGTTGTAATCTCCGAAGCAGCTGGAGAAGTAGTAGAAGGAGAACCTGGAGAAGCTAAAGACAAGGAGGAGGAAGTAGAGGATGTCGAAGACGAAGTTGCAGCTGAACCTGAAGTTGCAAGTCTCCCGCTTGAGCGATGCATGCGCATTCTTCCGCATGATCAAAATAGTGGTGGTTTTTTTATTGCTGTTTTTCAAAAGGTTGCTCCATTTAAGAGTACGATTCATAACTTTAAACCTCTCTTGAAGCAAATATGATGTGAATTGACGTTTCGACGAGATAGAGAGAGAGAGAGCGAGCGAGCATAATATTTATCTTGGCTGTTGTTGCATATCCTCTTGCAGTGCATCCCAAGCTGAAAGAGCAGAAGAAGATCGAGAAGCGTCAAAGGGGCCAATCTAAAGATTCCTCTGAGAAGGTGGATGAGCCAGTGGAAGTTGTTGATAGTGCTACGGTCACTGTTTCAAGTTCTTCCCCAGACGCAGGAAATGATGCAGGAATTGACGCTGAAATGGTGGACCAAGATCCGTCAGTTTCTGAATCCTCACCAGTAGTCCCTGTTGAAGAGGGGACTTCACCTGTGGCGAAGGAAGGTGAAAATATCGAACAAGGCGGCGGAATCAAGGATGAGATTATGGGGAGCACTGTGGATGAACCCGAGGCTCTGAATGGGAGCGAGGACAAAAGACGTGAAGAGAAAAGGGTCCAGCAACAGGGTAGATGGAAAGGGGTAGATCCTGTTCTTTTCTTGGAGGATGAACAGGTCATTGAGAGCCTTATTTCTTATTATGGAATCAAGGACTCTTTCCCTTTGCGAGGACACCTCATAACAAGAAGTGAGGATGTTTCTCGCTTGAAAAGAATTTACTATGTTTCCGTTTCCGCTAGTGACGCCATCAAACTCAACAACCGCGCAGGAGGTCACTTGAAGATAACTTCAGCAGGGCTGAAAATATTTGTAAGGAACCTTTTTTCCGACATTTAAATCAAGGAGAGGAAGGCAAATGCAGTTTTATCGTTGTTGACTTCTTATGCCGCAGCACTGGAGCATCTTCCAATTTTTTTCTGGCACGATTTGCTTGCAATTTCTTATTTTCCAATCATCTTGGCTTGCAGGAGAGGCAGGCACCAAGGGAGACAGTTGCACATTGTGCTTTCAGGATAGCCTCAGAGGGTCTTCCAGTGATGTTGCCTCACATGACCAAGCAAATAGTGCACACAACCAGGGCGGACTTTAAGCTTTTGCTGAACGAGAAGGCTGTTCCATTTCATGCATTCAATGAACCAGATTTCATGAATGCACTTCAAAGTCTCCTCCCAGGATGCTGTGTCGTCGTTCTACCGGAAAGTAAGCATATGCAATGATTACCCTCGAGTTAAACTCTTAGGTTCTGTCCATTATGGCCTAAAGCAAATTGCTAGCTAAGCTGCATAGCTTAGACTCTTATTTTGAAGTCCTTTTGCGTCTTATTGATCGAAAATGGTATTTTCTACACAAATGTATCTAATCAGCTTGTGGACTTCGGTCTGAATCGCAGGAAATGAGAAAGGAGAGGTAGACTTGACCCGCTCAACTGCGGTTGGATGTTGGCGAGGAAGGAGTAATGTAAGTCTTCTCATAACAAAAGCAGAGGCTGGACAAATGCTTCAAAGACTTAACCTGGTTGACGAAGAATCCAAGACCGTAGAAAAAGCACCGGATGTTATCCCAGTGGTAGACGAGGAGGAAAAACCAGAAGAGTCAGTGGAACAAAAGCCTTGAAAGTAGATGCTGCTTATAGAGCAGACAAGAGAGAGCTGTTGATTGTAATATTCAATCATTTTAATTATTTCAGCGGCAAATCGATTTGAATTATTATCTTGTGAGTCCAGGAATAGAGCTCACGATATCTGGATGCACATTCCGTTTTCATCTGGCGATACTCACTAAGGTCTAGTGTACATTACAGTATCTAGCAAGTACCCAATCCTGTCCAACACTCAGATTTAACTTGTGTACGGAAAATAAAGGGTGCACCTGAATATGAAATCCGGGCCATCTGTAGTAGCATTTTCAACATGCATTTTCAATTAGATCCAGACATGAAGCTGAACGAATTTTCAAGTTCTAGAGGATCTTGTATTTTAATCACTTCGCCGTGTTCAGACGTATGCGCTGGGGAGAACAATGTGAACACTAAGTCATGTGAATTGTAGAGCTAAAGCAAAGTCGTCGGTAAACCCCAACCTTTGTAAGAATACTCAAAATATATCTTACGATGGAGGCTGACATGCATTTGTGTCATAGCTAGACGTGTCTCACATCTGGCTGATCTGGCTATCCAAGTTCATCATGTTGTTACTCTTACATCAGGGGAACTTACATATGTCGGGACATTAGTCCAATGAGTCAATATTGCAAATTACCAGTACTGCAAACAGGATTAGTAGCAAGACATGAGGCTGGATTATGTCAAATGAAGTGATCAACTCCAATATCAGGCCTTCAGCACACCCCGCGCACCTACATGACATGTGTGCTGAATAGGTTGGTATACCAACACGAAGTTAGAAAGTAAGTCATAGGGGAACAACCTCAAATCGATGAAAATATAGTTTATTTATTTAGATTTGATATATATATATATGTATTTAAATGATTGATTTCAAGATGGTGTAATTTTAAGCAAGGGATTGAATATATTTTGACACCCGTACAAGACATTTATAGTTTGTTTGGCCATAATTAGCGAAATTATGTACTTATCATCAGTCGCCTCTACATTTAAAAATACATAACAGTAGTGTCCATATCATAGTAATGCAACAATTAAATAAGTGTAGATGTATGTATCATTTTTGCCGTATCACTCTTAAAAACACATTGACATATGAATTGTTATAACAAAGTTATGTATCTATCCAAAAATTTATGTTTGAGGAAATTCATGAAAAATAACTTTTAGATACAAAAATAATACGTTCATACCATTATTTTTCAATTTTTATGCTGTTTAATATAATCATTATTTAAGTGATGAAATAAAAATAGTTCTTAATAGCGTTACACAGCCATTATATGAGCATACATGCTTGAATAATATAAGAGTGTTGGAGTTTTTTCTGTATATATACATGTGATTTATTATAAATTTAATAAAAAGTTAAAATTATAGAATTTTTTCTTTGCAACGTGTAATTAAAAGCTTTATACGTGATTTTAAAGATATGAATGATATTGATAGACCTCTTGGAAACATTGAAAGTGATATACATTCTAAAATGATGTTCAGTATAGTTATAAGTCCAGTCTTAATTTGAATTAAACATAGGAAACTTGAATGTATGTTAATGCATTCGAATTTGGATGTAAGAACCGAATGAGTACAGTACTGAAGGAAGGAAGGTAAGGCTCAAATATATGGCAAAGAGGAGAAAGCAGTTTGATAGGTTTGAATGTTTGAGCAGGGATTTTGACCACGAAGATGCTTTTGTAAGGGAACAGGCGGCGTATCAATAACTCTTAAATCAAGTCAAGAGATGACAATTAGAAGTAAGAAAGAAACGAGAGAAAAGGTGCTACCGAGAGCAATCAATATACTCCTAGTTTAGAAATAGTCCATGGAAAAAATAAGACAATAATATTCATCTATGATTACACATCAAAGGAAGTCCTGCGACTTGAAATGAGTTATTTTTAATAACTAAGGAATATTTTTGTTGTACAAAATTATACAAGAGTTAAACAAATTTGTTGGGAGTAAAATCAGCGCGTTGGATTCGGTAAAGAGCCTAACCCGAATTATGGAAAGAGAAATAAAGGCTAAGGTGATAGGTAGGTACTACGAAGAGAAGCATTGGTTACATTTAGAGAATCTAGTAATTCACGCATTCTTTGATTTTGACAAGGCCAAGTGGTTCCTGCCACGGGAACGAAAGGGGACCAATAGTTTTAAGATTGTAATAATGAAATCCGGTCCAGCAGCAACAGATGAACGAATTTATTGTTACATGCTGGTTGCTAGCTTCGAAGATAAACATCGAGTACAAAATGCAAGATCACATGAGAGAAGATCTTCGAATTCGTTCAAGTTACGGTAAAGATGCCCTCGAAGAGAGCTTAACAACTTATATATGTTTTTTTCATGTTTATGGATACAGTTGGATATACTGTAATCGTATGTGTACCGATGAGATGACGAAAACCTTATTGCAAATGGAAACCTCAAAGAATTCTTATTTCGTAGTTGGCAAAATTTGAAGTGCTTGTATCAGCATCGAAGATGATATATCCGGTGCCAGCTAGTCTAGTAATCTTCAGTTCTATAATCTGTATCCCTAAGGTCTGATCAGAGGTTTAGAAATGAGAACAATATAGGACCTGACTACCATGCTCGAAGGTATGATGGAGTGTACACATACATCTAGTGATCAGTATGGGTTGGAAGCTAAACGATGAATATCAGATCAATTGGAATGACATGTGGAAATCCAAAAAGATCGGGACCAATTCATACGGGCTTACGTATTGGTTTTGGTTATACTCAATACGAGGAAGAACAATATGAATCTCTTTCTCATACCCATTTACAAAAATATTCATATTGATTACTCGTAGAAGACTTCGAGAATGACTAATGCTAGAACTCTTCTTACACATTGATCTATCTAGAGCTTCAGTTGAGCTCATGACTGCACACTGAAAAGAAAGTGCTAACTCTAATCTCATGATTTCAGTCACTGTCTGACTTCGGATATCAAACTAGAAATCAAAGCCAAGCATCCAGCTTCATGAAACGCGATCCACCTTAGGAACTGCATCAAGGTTCTAAATCGCTTCCGCAGGCCTGTCTAGCTATTCAATTTTAGAAACAAATCTGTCAAACTATCTGACATTCGGATGCAAATACAGGATTAGGACTAACCTTGAGTACAAAAAGTACAGCATCACTTTACGTATTTTGGTTAGGAAAAGCTCCTATATCCATCCTGCAGCCTGATAAAGGCCTGAAGTCAGTGATGCCCACCATAATCTTGGACCACTAGTCAACGATTGAGGCAGTAGACGCTGCAACTTGAGATGTCAGAAGATTTGCATGACAAAGCAAAATGTCAAACGCCGATTCAGAATTCTCGTGCATGCCATTTCAACAGTTGAAGATGAGATGCCATCTGAATCTCGTGTACGCGTCAGGGTCGATATTTTGCTGGTGGCACTTGAAGTTCCTGTAGCTGATGGCTCACTTTAGAAGTCAACAACGACTCAACTTGTGTACACGTTAATCCCTTGACTGGTCTTGGTTAGACTCTGATACACCTCAACCATTGAAAACGTCAGTAATGTACTGACAACCTAACCAGCTGTAACCAACTGAGATGTTCGAGCTGATGCACTTTTGTTTTTGTCCATGCAGCCTCTTCATCCGAACCCCCAGTGTCAAGACTACGTCCACTTGCATGTACTGAGTTGCCATCAAATTAGTTCGAGCCATCACATATAGTCCTATGAGGTTGTTTTATATGTAATTGGGCACGTAAAGTTTTAATTTTAGTATCCCTAATAAAAAGGATGATACGTCTGAGGATGTGCATAATTTAGTTTCTACACACACTATTGGGCTGAAGGTTCATGCAATGTGTCAAGTGAGGCTTGAAAGTCACCCAACGAGGAGTACATAGAAGGTTGATACACGACGCGATAAATAGATTATGTACCCACTGCCTCTAGCTGCTGCTATCTTTCGATTCAATTAAACTGGTATTTGAATATCGTCTGATTCCAAGTAGGTGTCAAATTCATATATATTTTTGTGCATGATGAGGTAATAAAGAGAAAGACTGTTGAAGAAGCCTTGTTGACGATACGTCTTTTACCGATGTAGTTGTTTTATTGTATCGTAGTGACAAATCTTAATCTCACTCATGAGTGAAAGTAAAAATCAGTAAACTTGATGGTGCTTTTGTGATAATATGGATCTCTAGACATTTCCGTTAGAGGTATACGCACTCATATGGTGTAGGTGTTTTTCTTAAAATATATTTTATAGTTTCCAAGCAGAAGAAGATTATATATATCCATTGCATATATGAAGAGTTTGAGCAGCCAGATTCTTCTTCAATAAAGAATATTCAAAGCTTCCAATAGGTAGAAAGACAACCCATTTTTTTATTTATATTAAGGGATGCAAATGTACCATACATGGTTCACGGATACTTACAGCAGTAGCAGCATTAATTAGGATAAGGTTCTCCAATTTCACTATTCTTGATTAGTATGATAATCTTTCTTAGAAAAGAAGTAGTTTAGAGTTGTCTTGGTTTGTAGCCCTTGCTATGCGCAGATTATTAGTTTATTGACGTATGGTGACGGTTACTTAAACAAGGTTGGTGAATGCTTAAGGCAGACTTTTGTAAGTCAAGCTTTTCCTGTGTCCTATAGGAAGTTGTGGATGAGATTTGAGCGACTTGTCATTTGGAATTCTCAACCCTGACAACTGTTGCTGTCAAGTACTTCTCCGGTATTTGTGGCCGTGCTCTACCCTCTCCGATTCAATCACAGTATTAGTTCTTCACTTAAGCTTGGCTATGGAGTTTGGTATGTTGTTATATACCTGAAACCTATTGTAGAATTTTTCTCCTGTGATAGCACGGTCAATTTATTTTGGTGCAAGATTGATGAGAGAGAGAGAGAAAGAGATGTATATGGATCTAATTCAGTAATGTAGTCAACAACACAATGTGAAAACTTTCATGTGTAGAAAAGTTGATCATGTTCATGTCCCACTTATATTCATGTATGCTCCAGGTTATATCGTGTCTAGAAAAATATGTGCAAGCACAAACGCCTCCTACTAAATCCTCGATAAATTTATAAACTGGCGAGTGTTTTCTTAAAATTCACTCAACAATGGTGATCTTTTCACTGATGGGAAATTTAAAGGTTGAAACTTTAAATGAATTTGGATAAACTTGTTACTGAGTACTGTAACCAAGCGGTCATATATTGACGCCTGGTTACACTACTGAGTGATATTTTCATTTTTTCATACACAAGGGAACACAAAACCAAAACAAATTCCTTGAAGTGCATATAATCAGTGTTGAAAAGATGTGACTTTGGTGAAAAGACTATGGTGATATCAACTGTGCTAGTTCATGTTGCTGGGAAATTGATAACGTAGAGGCATTGACAACACGCATTGATTCTGAATTTGCTATAAGTTTCGTTTGGATCAGCCAACAATAAAACAATCATGTATAGAAAATGCGCAATGTAAATAAATAAATAAATATATATATGCACATACTGCTCATATGGATTCTTCTGATTGTTCAAGTTGCAAAACTCTGGTTGATCTGAATATCTGCATATTAAGATCTAAACTGAGCATTTACTCAAGGTAGGCTAGTTTGGAAGTTGTTTCTGGTGTACTGATCAGACACTTGTGAACCTTAATCACAAACCAGTGGAAGGGTCAATACAGATATTCCGATTGTACATAAGAACAGTTCGGAAGTAAATATTGATAATTCAAAATCTAAAAATGATCTCCCGTTGCGTTAAATTATTCACCAGACGGAGCTTCATAGCTGTCTTGAGGAGGCGCACGTAGTCTCCTCCGAGTGGACTGTTCTGCTTTCAGCGGCCTCGTGTGCCTTTGAGGTAGCTTCAGATGTATAGATCGAAGTGACCCTGTCTTGTAATCCGTCGCAGGTTCAGAAATCTGAGGTTACAATTCAACAGATAAAGTTGCAGTTTCAGCTGTCAGACGTAGGGTTTAGAGTAACCCTGGACCCTAGCCCTGTATCTGAATATATAAATCAACGGATGAAGTTACCAGATTCAGCTATCAAAGAAAGAGTCGAGAGTGATCGTCTAGCTCTCTTTGAATCCATGACACTTACGGACGATCGAGTCTCGGCTGGACCATAAAATCGTCTGTGTAAAGCAATCTACCATGAGTGTTAGCAACCATAGCTTCTCTATGAGGTAAAATTTATACCAAGACAAACGTCTTACAAATGTCCAGACTCACTTCTTACCTTGAAGGATTTGATTTCTTCTTCCGATGTTATGACCATGATTCCTACGATGCAGAAGATTTCCCGAAATAGCAATAAGACAATTGACATGTACTCATTCCAAATCGTTGTAAGCACATTGCAATCCTTTCACTCATGTTGATATGCATCTTCGTATCGTCGGCTCATGGGTGATTGATCTCATCAGTCGGGGATTAGGAAAGAATTGAATGCAACAGGTTAGAACTTCAAACGAAGTGACGAGAAGTTGACAAACCTGGGCTTCTGAATGAATCTGGGGCCGATGCGTCCACGTCTTCAGACATCAAGCACACGAGGACCATCACTACCAAGATACAGAGTTCGCCTCTGACTACCCTGTTCACAGATTCTAAACTCGCCATCACGTTCGTCGTCGTTTTCTCCTGCCTCCCCCCGCCGTGGACGTCGGTGCAAACAACTTCTCTACAGATTCTGGATCAGACTCACGAGCACGAGCACCTGATATACATCACTCGGCAGTGAATCGGAGACTGAGCACTTGAAGTGCTCAGTCTCCGATTTACTGAGACAGCTCATTGACGCGGTCAATGGTTTCAGTCGTGCATGATACTTCCATAGTAGGCGTGGACGAGTACTGAACTGAGAATGAGATCATCGCAGCGTACCTCTACTTGTATCATCTTGACGCTGCCATTTTGTACGACCCACATAACTATGGTGGTTGGAGTTTTACTTTTTGCTAACATGTCGTGAGATGAAATAAGAACTTTCTCATTGCTTTGCTATTCTTTTGCTTTATGGAAGGTGTTTTATATTCGCCGCAAGCTTTCTTAGATTCAGTGCATGAGTCAGAGACCGGACGTTGTAGTCTGATCATTCTCGGCGTTCACATTATTGGCTAATTAATTCTAGGCAGTCGAATGTAAGTTGTCTGTTGTGAAATTGCAAGCATTAGTATTCTTACCATGACAAAACTAAATTATCTAAAAATAATGGTTTATATTTTTGGCCATGAACGTGAGTATACGCAGTTCAGCAAATTGTGACGGATCTCAATGGAATTTCAGATGTACATCAACGGATGTGCCAACGTACAAAGATTTCAAAAATTGCAAAACTTTTATATCAAGTATAACATAGAATACACATAAATAAAGATACAACATACTGTGTAACGGTTCATCTTGTCATGGGCACAAGGTGAAATCAAGGGGGAGTATCATATCATGATTACATGTGAGATATATTACACACGTTGATTCAAGCGGAGCCTGAGTAAATGTCAAGGTATATCTTGAAAAGCAGGCTGATGAAGTACTTCAACAAGGTTCTCTGATTGAACAGAAAAAAAATTGAATTTTGTACACTTTTGATGTAAAAATAATTTCAATCCGATAAGTGTGAAGCTACCCACTAACATGCCAAATGAGGCACCAGCTTGTCAACACACTGAGACCCACTACATGGAGCAGAAGAAACCACGTTTCAAAGCTGGAACCATTCCCTTCATGGCGCACCTTGGAGGAATTTCGGCTTTTCGAGAGCACAGTACACCGATGTAGAAAATTGTCTTTAGGTACTGTAAGAAGTACAATGTGCTACATAATCCAGTAGCTTGTGCAGCGCTTTCTAAAGTTCTTTGACCAGAGCGCAAGATTTATCTCTACCTTAGAATGGGTGGCGATTTTCGGTAATTCGATGGTTCTGCCACAGCGTCGGATGGTGGCAGTCTCTCGGCTTGTGTCAGTCTCCTTCGACTATGATATTGTTGCCCTTGGACTGCAAAAGGCTTCATGATGAAAACATCTAGAGGAGCAAATCCAGAATGTGAACTTCTCAGTATATCTTCGGAAACTCCAAAATCCTGCAGCGGGTTCAGAAGCAAATGTCTCAAATCTTTCTTGCAAGCAGCGAGCAGTCGTGCTTATCGTATTAGACACATAGACGCTGAAACGATGATAGAAACACGAATTGACGAGTTTGGTATCAAACTCGTCAATCGTATTTGTGCTGAATTCATATCTGTGTCAGTAAACCTTATGAATTTCGATATCACGTCTATGCTTGTGTCTGAACTGACACGCCATTGCAGGATCTACAAAAGATCAAAGTAGGCGCATACAAAGTACTTTAGTCGAACGGGAACAACATTCTCACCTTTGATTCGATAAATGAGTCTCCTGCTGTTGTACCAAAATATCCTGAGTATCAATGACACAATCCAGTTCGGTCACACAACCTTCCGTCAGCTTAAAACTCAGTTTTGTCTCTACATCTCACTGACTTTAAATTAAACAATGAGTTTTAGCTCAAAGACGCAGCTCAACCTGCAGATGGCTACAGACGTTCAACTGAGTGACTAGATGCCGGAAGGTAAACAAATCTGTGCTATTGAATGGAAGGCAGAAGAATGTTCAACAGTTTGTGGAGACGCACCCACGATGACGAGGAGAATAAATAGCTCGACAATGATGATTCTCTTGACATAGACTGGGATCGCGCCAAATTTCATCATCGTGATATCGAACTTACGGCATGACATCAACATGAGATCATGAAAAAAATTTCCACAAAATCCTTTGCGCTGGTTTAGGATGGCACCTGCTCACACTTTCTCTATGCTCAAATTGGTTCAAGCCTCAACGACAACCAGTGTACATTTGGATGTTTGGTTGAGCTCCAGGTATTTATGAGAAAATTAAATAGACCAAATCAAAGGAGTGTGGACCGACTTTGGAGTCATCCCATCCTTCTCGTTAAATTTCTGAGCGCGTTTCCACCTTGGGCCAGCTGTGGTCAACCACACGGCATCCAAGTGGATCTGAACTAGTTATCTGTCAGATCAGAAGTTATATATATGACATATGCCATTTACAAAGATCTCTTTCAAACTCAGAGAATATTCCGTCGTCAAATAGGCAATTCTACCTTATACGGCGTACACACGTTCCTTTCAGTAGTCAGTGTAACGACGACTGAAATTGATACTAAGGACGTGGTCCGCACAGAAAACTAATCCACTGCTTACTCAATGCCGTAAATGTGGACATGCAGACCAAGCCACTTGCTTCTGATCATCCTTTTCAGTTAAAACTTCGGAATAATCGAGGGGCTTGTCATCAGATCAATTAATCACGTCTTGTTATCAGACCGCCTGAGCAATCTCATGTACAGTAATTTGCAACTTGAGGTTACTAGTGAACAGGTCAGGTCACTACTTTGGATTAGGCTGCTGGCTCGAACAAAGGCTTCAGGCCAAAGCTGCATGGATGTAGGATCAGACATTCCTCTGTCGGTTGGGGCAGACACGATGCAGGTTTGACCTCAGTTCCAGGACATAAGATTCTACCTTTGCAATACCTTCCTGCTTCTAGTATCTGAAAATCTCGTGGGAGGAAGGACGATTGAGCCGCCGAAGAATTAGTGCAATACCCAGGCGACTGGTGCGAGTCCATCGCAGCAGGCTGCACCTTTGGACTTGCACTCGTGAGATAAATCAGATCAATATCGTAAGTTTTGATGACCCTCGTATCATAAACTAAACTGATAAGAACAGAGACTGCACTTGGTCGTAGCCCAAAGGCCGAGACAAGTATACCTCATTGGTCTTATTGGCGAGTTTATGGATCTCACAAGAAGCGTCGAGGTTCGGCATTCGTATTGGATCTACTGTTGCTTGTTTGAGACATTGCCAACAATCCGTTGCCACTGATCTTTCTTTCTATATGGGCATAGAGGGTCCACGTATCTTACATGCTTCTCAGTGCAGGTATAAAGTCCGACGATTGTTTTTTGAGAAAGTTATTACATTCTCTCCGAATCGGGAACAGTACTTGCTCTTCAATTGAACACACTAGAGACACAAATGTCTGGCTAAACCAACTGATCGTGATTGGAAATTCGATGAAAGAAATTTCAGACCTGTCTTCAGGCACAATCGATTTTGTAAGAAAGCCGAGCAACAATTAGGAAGTCAAGGATTCAGTGGGACGAAATCCAAATTTTTCTGGTCTACTACGTGAGCCGTGCATGGCCATTTACCATGATCGATGGCCATGCAAAAGAATGATTTCCGTTGATTAGGAAAAGCATGGGTGGAGATAATGAATTATTTTCTACGAAATAGTATTTGGTAGATTCTACGCGTGTTACGTGTCAAGATTCCAGATTAGACGTGGCCTACGACAAGTGTCAGCAGCCCATGAGTAAAATTCCGAAGTGAAATCACCTCTTTATAGCCAGGATTATACATCCTTGGGCATCTGATAACCTTAGATTTAGGTTACGCGAGTGTCAGGGCATGGTGGTTCATGCACTACCGAAGATTGCTGTTTGCTTCGCAATAGTCAATGGCCTCTCCTCTTTTTTTTCACCGCCTCGATGCTTCTGACCGAGTCTTTTGTATTCTAAGGCGCCATCTTCATGCAAGAAATTAATCTGCATTGCAAGGAGAGTTTGGAGTTGATCACTGAAGTTCTCCCTTCGTAAAATTCGTCAGAAAAGGAGCCTTGAACGAGTGATTTGTCTTTGGAGAAAAAGACTTGTATTCAGCTCCAGGGATTGCGGATCAAGAAGAAGCGGAAGGAATGATCAGACGTTCCGAATTACGAGAAATAACTTACACTCATGATTCTGCTCTTTCAGCTTTTGTTTGAGGTGTTGTTGCATGAGATGAAATATTATGTCGGGAATGCATTGAGCATGAAGTACAAGCTTATAATATTTTTGTATAAACTTATATTTCATTAACGAGGTTTGATAATTTTTGGTATATACATTGTCAGCATGAAACTCCCCAACCTTGTGTGTTGTAATCGGGTGGGAATCTAAAGCAAATATAAGACTCAACAATGATACTTGGCAGGCCTCCACCACTCCACAAAGTGAGAAGCTCCGCCAAATCAACACCAGACACAACATCCCACCACATGTAGGCCCTTGGCTCTATTCCGCCTGCAGCAGCGATAACGATGCTCCGCAGCCTCCAGCCCTGCTAGGCCAACCCTAATTCTATACATCCGATATCCAAAAATTCTGAGACAAAGTCGAACATATTTATTCTGGCACACTATTGACTACCGTGATCCATACACTGATGCTACTCATATCTAAGAAGGCATTCAGATGGCTATTTTCAGATAGGAAAATAGTATTAGATATATCAAATTTTTTCAAAGAAGATCTATCAAAATAACATAGATTAGATTGATAGTAGGAAAGGCTAGATTTGCATTGTTTATTTACCATTGGCTTCCCGACTATGTTCCCATATTTAGCTGGACAGCCCCTTATGTTTTCTTCTCCAAGCAATAACCGTTCTCGATGGATACAAGGTGGCGAAGCCAAGGAGATCTTCGATTGCCGGAGGCAATCAGTAGCTACAGCAGCTTGGAAACTATCGAATCGAAGATAGTTTTGAGAGATTTTAGTTCCAGTTGTGTTCTACGACAGATGGAAATTGGCATATTGACATGGAGTTCCGAAGCGGAAATGGAGAGCTTGGATTTACAGCTGGAGATAATTCTGATTAACTCTAGTGCCAAATTTGACATATAGTTGCAGATTTTTTACTGTAAATTCCGAGAATAGATACCGTGTGCTTGAGGTCTACTGAATAGAAAATGGATTCAAAAGGAAAGCAAATCAGAGTGAGGATAGAGAGGAAGTTCAAGAGCATAAAAGAGCCGATGTTATACCTTGCAAGTCTACACACATCAGAAAAAGAGGAAATCGGAGAATTTGACATTTAAGAAAATGGTTTCCACCAAGCATGCGGTCACCTCTATAGGGAAATTGAAACAAGTTCTGATCACGACAGGAAGATTGCAGCAAGTCCAGATCACAAGACGGAGATTGCAGCAAGTCCAGATCACAAGGCAATTCAACAAACCTCATGCCTACAAGGAGTTTGTGGTGGGATGTAGCATGGTATAGGGAGACGAAACAGCCGGAAGTATTTGATATGTTTGGTATAATTAGGTCAGAATATATTATCAAATATCAGATTGCCTGGTAATGATAGCTTCGAACAGCTCGAATTTGTTGATGAGGAGAACGAAATTCTCAATTTCCGCATTCGTGATGAGAGCATAGATTGTAAAACTACACTCTCATCAGAAATCATATGCTTTCACTGGACAGAATTATGACCATGGACCAGCGAGAGTCATTTCAGCCCCTGAATCCAAGTTTCAAAGCTCCCAAAGCAACTGAAAGAATATGGAAGGTATTCTTTAGATGAATGGAATTGAAGAAACTTCAGTTTTGAATAGACTGCATTTTTACTTAGATTGCGAAGGTTTTTTTTAAAGATATATGGAGGCAACTATTCTGATGCTTGCGTGGGAACACAATTATCACTAGCTTGTCTTTGTCTTTATCTCGGAGTATTCGAGGAGTTCAAGGATCTGATGAGACTCCTGCAAGTGAACGTGATTCTCAATGATATAGATAGCTTTAAGGCCCCATGGAAAACGAAGGAAAAGATCAGGCAACCAAGGGAAAAAATCAGCGAGAAATACTCGCTGTCCAATGAAGATAGACTCCAGGCCCTTGGTAGATGCAGAAGTAGGAAATGTGAAACCTCCGAGAAGGTTAGTAGGTATAGACGTGGAACTTAGATTTGACAAAGCTCAATATAGACAAAAATTTAAATGAGAGTATAGCAAGAGAGTACACCTTGAAGAGTCAAGCTACAGACCAAAGATGCCAATTGCAACAAGTGGAACTCAAACCACAAAAGAAACAGATGATTATATAAGTATAATATCAGATAGTGGAGTAAAAGTATTTTCTACCCTTTGAGAGGGGTTAGGGTTATTTTATTCCTTTGTTAGGTGTTCTTGGTCTTTTTTGTTGCATGGTTTGGCTTTGGGTCCATGCCAAGCCAGTAGCTATAAAGTTAGTAGTTTAGAGTGTAGAGAAGGCAATTGCCTCGTAAAATTTTTCACTTCAGACAGAGAAGTAGTTTTTTTGATCTTCCTGCTGTCCAAATAATGTAGTTCATTCGGAAAAGGCCAACTCTCATTGATTTTCTCGATTTCCTCTCAGAATTTCCTTACGACACACCCGTGAGAAGTAGGCTAGAATGTAGTGAAAATTATTTAGTGTTTGAACTTTGATCAATCTAGGTGGGCGATGAAATGGGCGAAAGACATCTTGGTGACAGCAAGGTGTTACATCACTTGGAGTGAAGCGGAAGGAATGCAGAGAAAGTGACAGCATTCTAAGGTAGACTTGCTTTCCGGCAATGAAATCAAATCTATCGGCTATAAGTTATGAGATTTTAAAGTGTTATAACATGGATGAATTGTTTTTTATCTCAAGGAACACCATACTCGTAGAACTAGCTACATGATGGGTAATAAACACAAAGTAGAGCGTAATCTGATGTTAATGTTCAATACAAGTTCTTGACAATGCACATCATTGTCTTCTGGAAATACTTTCTTCACTTACAAACGCTTGTGCATTTTCCGCTTAGGATCCTGCAATGACTCTTTGCTGGAGCATTCTTTGATCCGATTCAATCTTGAGATGTTCATTAACGTAAGACCATCATCCTTGTGTTGTTTATCTAGTTTTCCATTGTACATATCTACATCCTCAACAAGTTAAAACTTAGCATATTGGGAGGAAGGGGACTACTAGGAGACAAAAATTCAACCTCTCCTCGAATAGCATCATTGGATCTCAACAATTTCATCGCGTCCAGTTTGTACTTGAAAGCTAACCTTAATCTGTATTTTCATATCCATTGTCTTTGGCTTCATCAAAATTCTTGAACTGCTTTGGTATAAATCTGGATATTCTATCATCTCTTTACAACCTATCTTCGTTAACAGCTGCTTTATTGCGGCTAGCTCCCATGTTGGCAAAGTCACCAAATAAGTTCAATTGTCGTCAAGGCATCGAGTTTAGAGAATGAGATACTGTTGATCCTCCATACCTTGGATGAAGAAGTTTACTCAGAGTTGGATTGACACCGTACATTTTTTTCACTCGAGGAAAATTTCTACTTGAGTAGAACCTCTCTAAAATGATACCGTCTTAAATGATAACCTCTTTAAAGTGCTAAATATTTCCGGTCCCAATCATGTTTCCATACTTGAATTGATAAACCTCCGTAATCTGCTATTTGATAAACTTGATCCGGTACATGAGAGTAATTCATGTTCATTCTGATTTATATTATGTACTGCGGATGCCCGTGTGTTTGATTCTGGATTGTGTTTTGTGTGTGTGTGTTGGATTTGTTGTGGTTGGTTTTAGAATCCAAGTGTTGTGTGTAATTGCTATTCTGGTTTGGTTAGCTCCTTTTCACTACTCCTCAAGAATCAATCCCATGACATCAACCGCAACAGCCAAAACGTATGGTTGTTGCAGACATGGCTTAAATGATAATCTCTATTAATTGATAAAAATCTCCGGTCCCAAAGATATCAGTTTAAACAAATTCCACTGTACTTCTCATAAATTCATCAATTCACTGTTTGAACTTTATGAATCTCGACCTTGTTTGAATCACACATGGATAATTAAAATGATATTTTAACTCAAATTGATTGATGAAACAAATCTTCACACAATCAATTTTCCAAACTTGCTTGAGAGTTTCTTCTCAACCCTTCTACTTATATTACTTGAAAAATTACCATAGCAACAATAAATAATTATCATTTAATTTACTTTTAGTAACATAAATCTAGGTATGTTTGACTAATTTCCAATACGTGTCATCATGACATTTGTCTATTCAGACCTTATGGAAAGTTACTTGTCCATAGCTTGAGGTGGCAACATGTCATTTAAGATCTCCAAAGTTTTACAACTTACACTTGCCAATAAATCAACTTCAAAATTAGTCTAATCAATGAAATTTTCATTACTGAATCAAACCAATCAAAACTAAAATGTAGTTAAAAGTCTTATGGTAAAAATTTAGACTTTGATAGAAGAAAAAAATACAAGTGCTCTTTCAAATTTTCTAGTTTTACCTTAATTCTGTCATGTATAGATCTCATAGCTAAACTTAGTCATAATTAGCTAGATTTATTTATAACTAAAATTTCCATGATCAATTTATTGGCTAATTTTATTAGTAATTCACACCTACACAATCGATCTTACAATACAAAACTGGCTGGATGTAAAGACACGCTTTATTTCATGAGCACCAAAAATTTGCTAGAGGTAAAAAGCAAGTGGTACAAATATATGCTTTCCTCTCACATAACTTTGGAGTCATATAACTTTTTTTGCATGACAATAAGATCTATTTATCTTGAAGTGTGTAAAGAAGTTCATAGAAACAAAACAATTCAAGACTTTAGGGTGATTTGAATTGAAATCCACAACTTAAAGAACTTAGAGAATTATGTTACAGTAGAACCTGTCTAAACTGATATCCTTGGGACTAGAGGTTTTTATCAATTAATAGAGGTTATCAGTTAAGCCAGGTCTGCAGCAACCATATGGCTTGCCTATTGCGGTTGACGTCATAAGCAGTGAAAATGAGCCGAACAAACCAGAATAACAATCACGCACAACACTTGAATTCTAAAACCAACGACAACAAGTGCACGGGAAACACAACCTTGAACCAAACACATGGACATCCACACTTTAAAATATATATCAGAACGAACATAAATTACTCTGATGTACCAGAACAAGTTTATCAAATGGCATATTATGGAGGTTTATCAGGTCCAGTATGTATACTTGGTTGGGACCGGAAATATTTAGCTGCTTAGAGAGGTGATCAGTTAAGGAAGTATCGCTTTAGGGAGGTTCTATTTTATTTTAAGATTACATTGCATAGAAAGATGGATTCCACTAAAATGATTTTGTTTTGTAAACAGAAAATGATCATGTAAAATAAAATGAATCGAATCAAATGAAGACAGCTCTCATTTCTGTACAAAGCAGTTATGGCATTCATGTTTACATGAACGACCTGATCTAATATTCATTATGTTCCCCATACATGAGTGTTTACTCCATATAACGAAAAACACGCTCATAATTACTTATTTTTATCGTACAAACATGCATCCTTGCAAACATCTTGACTCAAGACATATTTTCATACTCCAAGCATTACCACAAGTTTCAAACAAAACACCATCCAATTTAGCACATTTATAGGGCCGTGTTCATATAATTTCTTGACTTTATGGGTAGTTCTTCAACCAAGTAGATCAATATATGAGTTGTCCTATCACAAAGTAGCACAAAGAGAATCCATATCTTTATATGACTATATCCGTTCTTCCTATACTCCTAGCGCTATTGTCTTTCGGGTTGCTTCTCGTATTGGAGGAAACATCAACTTTCAACTTTGCGTCATCTCTTTTAGTAGCAAGGGCTTTTACATAATCCGTATCTAATAAATTCTATTATATGATCCCTCTTTTGGCTGATGATATGGGCCTCACAAACTTAATGCCCAATGTTTCCGATGGCAATGGCAAATAGGCTTCAAAGGAACTCCTCACAAAGAACACGTTCCAACTGAAGATGAAGTGATTCTGTACAAATAGACCCTTGGAAACAATTCCTCCTACAGCTGACTCAATAAACTTAAGAATTTCGTCAGAACATTACCTTTCCTCACGTGTTTGACAAAAGACGCTATTGACGTCAACCATTTAGCGAAAGTGTTACTTACTTTTGCATGGACCAGTGGGCGTGCTCCCCGTCAAGACCTCAACGTACACTTCCCATGATTAAAAACAGTATGACTTGAATAGACAAATCTCCAACGCGGCCAAAGTCCAGGTCCAGGTCAATCGCAGTCTCCCTCGAGTCTTCGCTTTGCCACTAATTTGTCCTGGACACGTCAGTCAGCTGTGACTTTACATTCTCGTTGCGTCACATCGGCAAGATGCTTTGACCCGTCCATGCTCGTAAAGGTGTTTTTGATGATCAACTTGGGGCCGCTCCTTGTCTGATGTGATCTGCGCTGGACACAAGCGCAGCCGTGGCTTTGTTTTTCCAAGATTTCAAGAGGATCTGTTGTGTACATACATCACAAGCCACACCCTATGATGAGGTATACTTGACAGCAGCAATCTCCGCGTACATATCGTGTATTTAAATTATATGATCACGCATCTTCACCACTACTGTTCCCTGATTGTTGGAAGCATTTGAAGAGAGACTCGGCTGTTTTTCATTACTCAAGAAGACTGGCTGTGGCGAGGAGCTAAAAGTCACATAGTTTTGCATATGGACTGTTTATGATACAAGTGTTCCGTATCGAAGTACACAGTGTTCAGACTCGCTCAGACTGGGAGTGATACACGCACCAACGGAACACCATGGAAACGATTTCGGAGCTTTGTCCAACGTAGTCGGAGTTGTAACAGTCTGTGTACGAGCGAGATCTCTTGAAGCTTGTTCCTGTGGACCATACCTGTGACTAAACTTGACAATTTTCTACACAAAATGATGAGGGTCGTGGAAGCGATTCCCGATTATGGCAGACGAGTCTGCAGGCTGGAGCTTCTGATCTTGCTAGCCATAGCGTTCTTGCTCTCTGAAAAAGGTGAAACTTGTCTAATGTCACGTCCCATTGAGACACTCAGGTTCACGTAAATCGATGCTTTTGCCATCGAACTACTCTCTGTGATTACATCCACATTCAGTTTGTGACATTTCACAGACACCTTGCAGTCATAAGGCTGAGATCAAACGCTTGCATTTAGAATTACTCCTGTATCGCAGTTGTTGATAACAGCAGGTGCAGCAAATAACGGTCGGGTTCAATTGCAGGACTCTTCCCTTCAGAGGCCGACTCGGAAGACAGGACTGCAGATTTGAAGGTGAGATTTCATTCTCGAGCACTTGGTCGGTTTGAGCCTGTCTCGCATAAGAATGTGGATTCTAGCAAGTTGGGAGCTCTCATGTCCTCTCATGCACAAGAACTCACTTATGTATGGCTTTCTGACTATATCTGGATGTGTATTTTGGACTGCAGTTGCAACCTTCGAAAGGCTGTAGACCATTACGACCAGAATCGTTTCATCATCCTGAAGATTCTTCAAGCTTGAGTCACATGGCTGTCTTCCTGGAAGACGTTCCCGGCGAACTACATGGTCGAAGAATTCTGGCCGACTCAGCCTCTTCCCCCATGGCTACAAGTTCTGATGTAATTGTTGCAGCTCAAAGCCCTGGATCTCCTGCACCCCCTGCAAAAAACGATGTCCTACCATAGTATTGACGGATGGGATGAAGTCGGCTCTTGCTCCTCTGAGTAGGAGAGTACAAACAGACTATTTGATAGCAACATCTGGTTGACAACCATGCTCATGAAGATACAGTGGCATGTGAAGATTCAACTGCTTCAGTTTAGCAGATTGTGGAACATTATTAGGAGTTACTGCGGAAGGCAGTAGTAGACGATCTAACTCGCGTAACGACGTCAATTCCAGTAAAGTGACAATGAACCAGTTCAAGTCCCTTTGACTATAACAGTATAGATGTTTATCATCTATATGTATTAAAAAATCATTCATTGCCTGTAATATTTTATTTTCGGGAAAAAATCATTCAATGTCATGATGTTTTATGTTAGTAGTTTGAAAGATTTTAAAGTTTATTATTTTGATACAAGTTTTTATATGAAAAGTGATCAGATTTTTTTAAAAATTTATATGTATATGATTATTTTATCAAAACATCTTAAAGAATTTTAGATATCAAGAAATTGTTTTTGATTCAATATTTAAATTATTTTTAGTCAAATTTAAAATTTTCATCTAAATAATTGATACATTACAAGATTTAAATTCAACTGTCAACAAAAAAAATTACTTTCAAAATCATGTTATTGGTTAAGGTTTTTATATAAGAAAATACTTTGATTAGAAAAAACAAAATTACATAAATTAGAGTATATTCTTAGATGCAATGTCAACATATTTGATATCAATAGGATATATATTAACATATGATTTGACTTTAAAATCTACATGAAAAAATCTGTTAAGTTTGAAAATATATATCAAAATCAAGTGATTAAAAATTATTTGAATGACTTTATGGATTAATAACGTATTTTTAAAAAACCTAGAAATATGATGAGTTCATGAAAATACATATGTAATTTCAAAGATAATTAATTTTTTTAAAAAAATATGATTTGGATGATAAACTATGGCAAAATATCAATATGGAATTGAAAAATGAAAACTTGGAATAATCTTAGTAATTCCTAGATATGAATGTTCATGAAAAATTTAAAAAATTTGTACTTGAAAAATTAGAGACTCCAGAAAATTTATTATCAAAAGAATGATTTTAAATATCTTTTAATATATAATAGTACTTCGCAGATTTTGTACTAAGAGCATAGTATAATTCCATTATCAATTTTATGATCTCAACAAATGGAATTATTCTATTATGTTTTGGTCAAAGATTTAGTTATGTACAACTCTAGTCTACTCATGTAAGATTTACATATTGTTTTGTATACTTTTTATTTCTTTAAGAATAATGGATTTTTCTTTCAAACTCTTCATGTAAACTCTTCACTCTTCAAACCCTATATACTCTTCATATGATATATAATATTAAGATACATGTAAATTTTCACAGAAATACTATTATAGAATCAAATAAAAGTAAATCGCACCCACAAGAAAGAGCAAAATACAATAAAGAGGTGGATTTGACTTATATTTTACTACATTAATGTATGTCATGTCGTATGTCATTAATTTGTTAACTAATTGATTGTTTATGCTTTGAATGAAACACAATTTATCATAAGTCAATAATAGAAAATTAATGTAAATGTTAATCTAAACAAGACTATTTATATACAAATATCAATATAAAGTATGAGTTATATATGAGTGTAAGTTATTCTTCTTGATCCACAATCCCTTCAGCTGAATACAAGTCTTTTACTCCAACGACAAATCACTCGTTCAAGGCTTTTTCTCTGACATGAATTTTACCGAGTCTTACTTGCATGATAACTCCTTGCAATGCAGATTACTTTCTTGCATGAAAATGGCTCCTTAAAATACAAAAGACTCGGTCAGAAGCATCGAGGCCTTGAGAAAAAGGCGAGAGGCCATTGACTATTGCGAAGCAAACAGCAATCTTCGGTAGTGCATGAACCACCACGCCCCCAACATTCAACTCGCGTAACCTAAATTCAAGGGTATCAGATGCCCACGGACGAATAATCGTGGCGATAAAGAGGTGATTGAACGTTGGAATTTTACTCATGGGCTGCTGACATGAGTCGTAGGCCACGTTTCATCTGGCATTTTGACTCGTCACACGCGTAAAGTCTACCAAACACTATTTCGTAGAAAATAATCCATTATCTCCACCCATGCTCTTCCTAATCTACGGAAACCGTACTTTTGCATGGCCGTCGATCATGGTCAATGGCCATGCACGGCCCACGTAGTGGACCAGAAAAATTTGGATATCCTCCCACTGAATCCTTGACTTCCAAATTGTTGCTCGGCTTTCTTTCAGTCTCGATTGTGCCTGAAGACTGAGGTCTGAAATCTCTTTTATCGAATTTCCAATCACGATCAGTTGGCTTAGCCAGACATTTGTGTCTCCAGTCTGATCAACTGAAGAGCAAGTACTGTTGCCGATTCGGAGACAATGTAATAACTTTCTCAAAAAGCAATCGTCGGACTTTACACTTGCACGGAGAAACATGTAGAGAAACGTGGACCCTCTATGCCCATGGAGAAAGAAAGATCAGAGGCAAAGGATTTGTTGGCAATGTCTCCGACAAGCAGTAGATCCATAGCGAATGCGGAACCTCGACTCTTCTTGCGAGATCCATAAACTGGCCAATAAGACCAATGAGGTATACCTGTCTCAGCCTTTTGGCTACGACCAAGTGCAGTCTCTCTTCTTATCAGTTTAGTTTATGATACGAGGGTCATCGACAGTTACGATATTGATCTAATTTCTCTCACGGGTGCAAGTCCAACGGTGCAGCCCTGCTGCCATGGACTCGTACCACTCGCCTGGGTATTGCACTAAATGCACTAAGCTCGATATCACGATGATGAAATTTGGCGCGATCCCAGTTTATGTCAAGAGAATCATCATTGTCGAGCTATTTCTCCTCCTCGTCATCGTGGGTGCGTCTCCACAAACTGTTGAACATTCTTCTGCCTTCCATTCAATAGCACAGATTTGTCTACCTTCCGGCATCTAGTCACTCAGTTGAACGTCTGTAGCCATCTGCAGGTTGAGCTGCGTCTTTGAGCCAAAACTCATTGTTCAGTTTGCAGTCAGTGAGATTTAGAGACAATACTGAGTATAAGCTGACTGAAGGTTGTGGAACCGAACTGGATTGTGTCATTGATACTCAGGATATTTTGGTACAAATGTAGGTGACTCATTTATCGATTCAAAGGTGAGAATCTTGTTTCCGTTCGACTAAAGTGCTGGGTCTGCGCCTACTTTGCTCTTTCGTAGATCCTGCAATGGCATGTCAGTTCAGACAGAAGCATATCAATGGATGAATCTGGACGCATTCTTCGACAAATTAGACGTGAAATCGAAATTCCGAGGTTTCCTGACGCACACATGAATTGAGCGCAAATACGATTGACGAGTTTGATATCAAACTCGTCAATTCGTGTTTATATCATTGTTCCAGCGTCTACGTCTACGTGTCTAATACGCTAATCACGACTGCTCGCTGCTTACAAGAAACATTGAGACATTTGCTTCTAAACACGCTGCAGGATTTTGGAGCTTACGAAGATATAGAGAGAAGTTCACATTCTGGAATTGCTCCTCCAGATGTTTTCATCATGAAGCCTTTTGCAGTCCAAGGGCAACAATATCATAGTCGAAGGAGACTGGCACCAGAAGACCCTGTGCCAAACCCATCGAATATCGGTTAAGTGCCACCCGTTTAAAGGTAGACATAAATCTTGTGCTCTGGTCAAAGAAGTTTAGAAAGCGCTGCACAAGCTACTGGATCATGTAGCAGATTGTACTTCTGACAGTACCTTTTGACAATTTTCTAGCACATTTGATATTACTATAGTCTTTTCACCAAAGTCACATCTTTTCGAGACAAGCACTGATTCTATGCATTTCAATGAGATTGTTTTGATTTTGTGTTCCTTCTGTATGAAAGAAAATGAAATTTTCACTCAGTAGTGTAACCAGGCCTCAATATAGGACCCAAATTCATGTAAAGTTTCAGGACTTTGTTTTCCATCAGTGGATAGATCACCATTGTTGATTGAATTTGAATAAAACATTTCGAAGTTAAAATATTTATGGAGGATATCGTAGGAGTCGTTTGTGTTTGCACATATTTTTTTAATCACAATATAACATGGAGCATACAGGGATGCAATTGTTTACTTTTGGTGGGTTATTACATAGTTGATATCAATAAGATATATATTAACATAATATTTGAATATAAAATCCATATAAAATGATCTGTTGATTTTGCAAATAAATATAAATAAAAAATTTATTTGAAATATAAATTATAAAACAATTAGAAAAAGAATTGTAATATATGATGAATTCATGAAAATCAAAATAATTTCAAAAATATATTTCAAATTTTCGTATTATTTTAAAATATTATATGTATGAAATACAAACTATAGCAACTTTGATAAATTTAAGTTAATTTTAGATATAGATATTCATAAAAAAATAATAATTCATTATTAAATGATGATTTAAAATATTTTTTTAATATATAAAAATATTTTACACATTTTGTTAAAAAAGCATAACTACAATTCCATCATATTTTTATAGAGCAAATAATATCACGTTTTGGTCCAGATTCAATCATATACAATTTTCAACTAAACATGTTAAATATTTTTTGTTTTGTATGAAAAATAATCATTTGAAAATTATGGATATTTCTTTCAAAACGATAATATATATATACGATAATCAAAGATCTGAGTGATAACTCCTTATAATGCAGATTAATTTTTTTTTGAAAATATCTCATTAGAGTACAAAAGACTAGGTCGGAAACATGGGGCGTGCAGATAAAGGGGAAAGGCTATTGACTATTGCGAAGCAAAAAGCAATCCTCGGTAGTGCATGAAGCACCACGCCTCAACATTCAACTCACGTAACCTAAATTCAAGGGTATCATAAACCCAAGGACGAATAATCGAGGCGATAAAAAGGTGAATCAACGTCGGAACCTTTGAAAATGTCATATATCATATATAACTTCTGATCTAGCAGACAACTAGTTCAAATCCACTTGACCACAGCTGGCCCGAGGTGCAATAGCGCTCAGAAATTTAACTAGAAGGATGGGAAGACCCCAAAGTCGGTCCTCAGTCCGTTGATTTGGTCTATTTAATTTTCTCATAAATACCTGGATCTCAACCAAACATTCAAACGCACACTGGGTGTCGTTGAGGCTTGAATCAATTTGAGCATAGAGAAAGTGTGAGCAGGTGCCATCCTAAACCAGCGCAAAGGATTTTGTGGAAATCTTTTGCATGATCTAATTTGATATCATGCCGTAAGTTCGATATCAACATGATGAAATTTAGCGCGATCCCAGTCTATGTCAAGAGAATCATCATTGTCGAGCTACTTCTCCTCCTCGTCATCGTGGGTGCGTCTCCACAAACTGTTGAACATTCTTCTGCCTTCCATTCAATAGCACAGATTTGTTTACCTTCCGGCATCTAGTCACTCGGTTGGACGTCTGTAGCCATCTGCAGGTTGAGCTGTGTCTTTGAGCCAAAACTCATTGTTTTATTTACAGTCAGTGAGATGTAGAGACAAAACTGAGTTTTAAGCTGACGGAAAGTTGTGTGACCGAACTGAATTGTGTCATTGATACTCAGGATATTTTGGTACAAAAGCAGGAGACTCATTTATCGATTCAAAGGTGAGAATCTTGTTCCCGTTCGACTAAAGTGCTTCGGATGCGCCTACTTTGCTCTTTTGTAGATCCTGCAATGGCGTGTCAGTTCAGACACAAGCATAGACGTGAAATCGAAATTCATGAGGTTTACTGACACAGACATGAATTGAGCACAAATACGATTGATGAGCACAAATATGATTGACGAGTTTGATACCAAACTCGTCAATTCGTGTTTCTATCATCGTCCCAGCGTCTATATGTCTAATACGCTAAGCACGACTGCTCGCTGCTTGCAAGAAACATTGAGACATTTGCTTCTAAACCCGCTGCAGGATTTTGGAGCTTCCGAAGATATAGAGAGAATTTCACATTCTGGATTTGCTCCTCCAGATGAAGCCATCATGAAGCCTTTTGCAGTCCAAGGGCAACAATATCATAGTCGAAGGAGACTGACACAGACACCAGCCAACCTCACGCCAGAGGGACCAATCGACCCTGCGCCAATCGCTTCGGACCACCATGCCGTCCCCGTGCCACTATCACCCTTTGCAGGGTAGAGATAAATCTTCTGCTCTGTTCAAAGAAGTTTAGAAAGCGCTGCACAAGCTATTGGATTATGTAGCAAATTGTACTTCTTACAGTACCTATAGAAAATTTTCTACATGGATGTACTGTGCTCTCGAAAAGCCGAAATTCCTCCAAGGTGCGCCATCAAGCGAATGGTTCCAGCTTTGAAACGTGGTTTCTTCTGCTCCATGTAGTGGATCTCAGTGTTTCCACAAGCTGGTGCCTCAATTGGCATATTAGTTGGTAGCTTCACACCTATCGGATTGAAATTATTTCTACAACAAAAGTGTACAGTATTCAGATTTTTTTCTGTTCAATCAGAGAACCTTGTTGAATTACTTGATCAGCCTGCTTTTCACTGCCGAGTGATGCATGTCAGGTGCTCGTGCTCGTGAGTCTGATCCAGAAACTGTAGAGAAGTTGTTTGCACCGACTTCCACGGCGGGGGGAGGCAGGAGAAAACGACGACGAACGTGATGGCGAGTTTAGAATCTGTCAACAGGGTAGTCAGAGGCGAGCTCTGTATCTTGGTAGTGATGATCCTCGTGTGCTTGATGTTTGAAGACGTGGACGCATCGGCCCCAGATTCATTCAGAAGCCCAGGTTTGTCACTTCTCGTCACTTCGTTTGAAATTCTAACCTGCTGCATTCAATCTCCTACTCTTTCTTTCCTGATCCCAGACTGATGATACATCATGATCAGCCATGATCCGATGATACAAAGATACATATCAACATGAGTGAAAGGACTACAATGTGCTTACAACGATTTGGAATGAGTACATGTCAATTGTCTAATTGCTAATTCGAAATTCAATGCACCGTAGGAATCATGGTCATAACTTCGGAAGAAGAAACCAAACCCTTCAAGGTAAGAAGTGAGTCTGGACATTTGTAGGACGTTTGTCTTGGTATTAACTTTATCACAATGAGAATCTATGAATGCTACCACTCATTGTAGATTGCTACTACAAAGACAATTTGATGGTCCAGCCGAGATTCGATCATCCGTAAGTGTCATGGATTCAAAGAGAGCTAGACGATCACTCTCGACTCTTTCTTTGATAGCTGAATCTGGTAACTTCATCGGTTGATTTATCATCTCAGATACAGTGCTAGGGTCCAGGGTTACTCTAAATCCTACGTCTGACAGCTGAAATTGCAACTTTATCTGTTAAATTGTAACTTCAGATTTCTGAACCTGCGACGGATTACAAGACAGGGTCACCTCAGTCTAGACATCTACAGCTACCTCAAAGGCACAAGAGGCAGAAACAGTCAACTCGGAGGAGACTACTTGCGCCTCCTCAAGACAGCTATCAACCTCCGGCTCATGACTAGTTTCACGCAACGGGAGATCATTTTTGAATCTGAATTATCATTATTTACTTCCGAACTGTTCTTACGTACAATCGTAATATCTGTATTAACCCGTAAAATGGTATGTAATTAAGGTTCACAAGTGTCTGATCAGTACACCAGAAACAACTTCCAAACAAGCCTACCATGAGTAAATGCTCAGTTTAGATCTTAATATGCAGATATTCAGATCAACCAGAGTTTTGCTACTTGAACAATCCAAAGAATCCATATGAGCAGTATGTGCATATATATTTCTTTACATTGCGCATTTTCTGTAATTGATTGTTTTATTGTTAGCTGATTTAAACGAAACTTATAGCAAATGCAGTATTAGTATTGCAGTATCGGTAATGTAGGGAGACTTTCCAAATTCAGGCATGTCTTTCCTTTTCTCTCCTTCGACTTTGCCAATCACGATGACGCAATTGGCCATGGGTTGATCTTCCTTAGGCAACTTCTCGGACTCACTAAGAAAGATAAAATAAAAGAAGTCAATTGGTTTACTCTTTGGTTTGTTCTAGTTTTATAAGTTTAAATGGACTTATCAAATTGTAGCTTGTTTTTTTTGCCTTGACAATGTATGAAGTCTTCTCATACTCAAACATGTCTTTTCATTTCTCTTTTTTGATTTTGCCATCCACGAAGATATCCTTGGTCTCGGAATTATGTTCCTTGAACAATTTCGTGAACTCATAAAGAAAGAAACAAGGCACTTGGTGGCCTCTTTGATTGGTTCTGGTCCATGGCAGCTATCGTGACCTTTCTTGGATCTCCGTTGGTTTGTTGTATTTGCGTATCTCTCAAAAGTCTTATGCTTCTTTATATCAATGTCCACAACTTTGCCAGTCTTTTCTTTCACAACCGCGTGTTCGTCCCCTTCTTTTGCTTCCCCGTATCTTTCATTGTAAAGGTTTAAAGTACGTTGAAGATTCGTAAAGCAATTATCAAAAGTTAGTTACTCGCGACCTTCGGCGACAAAAGTCTTCAGCTTAAGACCTACAGATCATGAACCTATCAAGGACGGCGTGGCAACAAATTCAAACCGCTGAAACCTTACAGTAACCTCTGTTTTTCTCTCCAACTCTCCCTCAAACAGAGTAGAAGCGAGACTATAAGGACTCACTATTCACATTCGGAGCAAAGTTAAAAAATCCCTCATTTCTCTATACTATTGCAGTTCAACAAGAGTATGATTCAATCATAGACATTGGATGTAATGGCTTTATGGTGTTTTGATAGATGGAGTCGCGGGTGCCAATGTGATAACTATTCTAAATGAGGCATAGACCTTCAAATTGAGAGATCTTCATCCATTACTTCATAAAAGGCCAATTTTTTTTTTGTAAATCTCAAGGAGTATAAATGTCTTAGACATTTCCACAACAGTGGAAATTTCATGTGGTGTTAGAATAAAATGTATCATACCCAATGATCTTAGGTCGACCATGGCTTATATGGAACTGGGATAAGACGAATATGACTAGAGGTTGATTATTTATAAGAAAAAGAATTTACACGAATGATTCATTGGATGATGAGGTTGGACTTTATGCTATTGAAGACACAACCATAACTACCTGCAAAAGGGACAAGGGAGAAGTCGATTTTTTCTTATGAAGAAATAGCATGGCGGTTGAATCGAATTTGATTAAGAACTCACTTATCTGCTCAATAGCAAGAACATTTTCGCCACCTATTGCCTAATATTTTTACTGATTTCAAGTAATTTACTGAAGTATCTTGGAATTTCCACAGAATTGAATTAAAAAAAATTCAAAAGGGGTAACACCGAAATCATAGTGATGAAATGATAATGTACATATAGACCCTTGGAAACAATTCCTCCTACATCTGTACGTAATAAACTTAAAATTTCATCAAAACTTTAGCTTTCCTCACGTGTTTGACAAAAGACTCTATTGACGTCAACCATTTAGCAAAGGTGTTACTTACTTTTTCATGGACCAGTGGGCGTGTCTCGTCACTAAGGGCTCCTCGCTTTCGGGGGGAACGCGAGCTCTGCTTGGGAGGGTTTTCTGCCCGCCCGGCCCGATGCCAGGCGAGCCCGCAGCCCGACCTCCCGGTTCGACCAGGGAGGGTCGCCTCGCGCCCACTAACATGTTTCAACTAACTAGTTGAAACATGTTAGATGACGACTAGGGCCACACCTGTTTTTGCTAGGGCCACACCCGCCCGTTAATTCACCAGTGGCCCAGAAGAGGAAGGAGAAGTGCGGACGTTGTGGCCTTGTTGGGCATCGTCGCAGCTCAAGAATGTGCCCTGCAGCTTTGAATGCGACGGTTGCGCCCGCTTCAAACCCGACAGTTGCACCGAGAATGAGTTTGACGGTTGAGCGTAGTGGCAAAAGTGTGCTTGGGTTGTAGCAGAAGTGCGCTTGGGTAGTAGCAAAAGCGGGCATGGTAATTAGCGGGCGGGTGTGGCCGTAGCAAAAACGGGTGTGGCCCTAGTCTTCCCCAACATGCATGCAGAGCGAAAAGTGGGTATTATTCCAGCGCTGGACATCACTAAATCGGAAAATCAATGCTCCGTGAAGGACCAAAAAAGCACAACCTGATTTACTTCAATAAACAAAAATATATTCATATTACCTCACTTTGTGAAACTCACAATAGTAAGAGAAAGAGCCCAACTCAAAACATATAAGGTGTTGATAATAATCCTATGTTTGATGTAATGGATATGCTCCGAATTTGCCTGTCGATAAATCTACTTCATCCTTTGAGTCGACAATATCCGAAAGCCATCGTAACAACGTCCTTTCGAACCCATGACTCTGATTTCATGGATACGCAATATGTCAATTACATTCTCTTCAAGATTTTCTACTGTAATATAACACTCAAAATTTGTGATCGAGAGATTATTCTGGGACCGAGGTTAAGGAACTTATTATCAGTCGCGTCTAGCCCAGAATTTGACAGCGATGGCTAAACAAAAGCATCCAATTCCCGCACATATGGTCTTAGGGTTGCACCCGTCAATTCGGAAATTCGAATTAGTCAAAGAAGGACTTAGTTTTAGGACGGGGGAGGGAAGAGCCCGATGGTCGACGGGAGCGGGGCGAGCTAAAGCGGGAGGGCCCTCCCTGGTCGAAGCGGGAGGTCGGGCTGTCATCGGGCCCGGGCGGGCAGAGGTCGCGTTCCCCCGAAATTGAGGAGCCGTTAGTGACGAGGGTGGGCGTGGTCCCCGTCAAGATATGAAGGTACACTTTCCATGATTAGAAACAGTCTGACTTGAATAGACAAATCTGCAAGGCGGCCAAAGTTCAGGTCCAGGTCAATCGCAGTCTCACTCTAGTCTTCGCTGCCAAAAATTTGTCCTCAACACGTCAGTCAGCCGTGACTTTACATTCTCGTTACGCCACACTGTCAAGATTCTCTGACACGTCCATGCTCGTAAAAGTGTCTTTGATGATCAACTTGGGGCCGCTCCTTGTCTGATGTGATCTGCTTCGGACACAAGCGCAGCCGTGGCTTTGTTTTTCCAAGATTTGGATAGGATCTGTTGTGTACATACATCACAAGCCACACCCTACGATGAGGTATACTTGACAGCAGCAATCTTCGCGTACCTATCGTGTATTAAATTTATATGATCACGCATCTTCACCACGACTGTTCCCTGATTTTTGGAAGCATTTGAAGAGAGACTCGGCTGTTTTCCAAAACTCAAGAAGACTGGGTGTGGCGAGGAGCTAATTGTCACACAGTTTTGCATATGGACTGTTTATGATACAAGTGTTCCGTATCGAAGTACACAGTGTTCAGACTAGCTCAGACTGGGAGTGATACACGCACCAACGCAACACCATGGAGACGATTTCGGCGCTTTGTCCAACGTAGTCGGAGTTGTAACAGTCTGTGTACGAAAGAGATCTCTTGAAGCTTGTTTCTGTGGACCATACCTGTGACTAAACTTGACAATTTTCCACACAAAATGATGAGGGTCGTGGAAGCGATTCCCGATTATGGCAGACGAGCTCTCCTTGCATTGCAGATTCATTTATTGCATGAAAATGGCTCCTTAGAATACAAAAGACTCGGGTCAGAAGCATCGAGGCGTTGAGAAAAAGGGGAGAGGCCATTGACAATTGCGAAGCAAACAGCAATCTTCGGTAGTGCATGAACCACCACGCCCCAACATTCAACTCGCGTAACCTAAATTCAAGGGTATCAGATGCCCACGGACGAATCATCGTGGCGATAAAGAGGTGATTGAACGTCGGAATTTTACTCATGGGCTGCTGACACGAGTCGTAGGCCACGTTTCATCTGGAATTTTGACTGGTCACACGCGTAAAGTCTACCAAACACTATTTCGTAGAAAATATTGCATTATCTCCACCCATGCTCTTCCTAATCTACGGAAACCGTACTTTTGCATGTCCATTGATCATGGTCAATGGCCATGCACGGCCCAATAGTGGACCAGAAAAATTTGGATATCCTCTCACTGAATCCTTGACTTCCAAATTGTTGCTCGGTTTTCTTACAAAGTCGATTGTGCCTGAAGACTGAGGTCTGAAATTTCTTTTATCAAATTTCCAATCACTATCAGTTGGCTTAGCCAGACATTTGAGTCTCCAGTGTGTAATGTAAGTAAGTGTGAAGAGCAAGTAATGTTGCCGATTCGAAGACAATGTGATAACTTTCTCAAAAAGCAATTGTCGGACTTTACACCTGCACGGAGAAACATGTAGTGAAACGTGGACCGTCTATGCCCATGGAGAAAGAAAGATCAGAGGCAAAGGATTTGTTGGCAATGTCTCCGACAAGCAGTAGATCCATAGCGAATGCGGAACCTCGACTCTTCTTGCGAGATCCATAAACTGGCCAATAAGACCAATGAGGTATACCTGTCTCAGCCTTTTGGCTACGACCAAGTGCAGTCTCTGTTCTTATCAGTTTAGTTTATGATACGAGGGTCATCGACAGTTGCTATATTGATCTAATTTCTCTCACGGGTGCAAGTCCAAATCTCAAAGTAGGCGCATACGAAGCACTCTAGGCGAACGGAAACAAGATTCTCACCTTTGATTCCATAAATGAGTCTCCTGCTTTTGTACCAAAATATCCTGAGTATTATTGACACAATCCAGCTCGGTCCCACAACCTTAAGTCAGCTTAAAACTCAGTTTTGTCTCTACATCTCACTGACTGTAAATTAAACAATGAGTTTTGGCTCAAAGACGCAGCTCAACCTGCAGATGGCTACAGATGTTCAACTGAGTGACTAGATGCCGGAAGGTAGACAAATCTGTGCTATTGAATGGAAGGCAGAAGAATGTTCAACAGTTTGTGGAGACGCACCCACGATGACGAGGAGGAGAAATAGCTCGACAAGGATGATTCTCTTGACATAGACTGCGATCGCGCTAAATTTCATCAGGGTGATATCGAACTTACGGAATGATGTCAACATGAGATCATACAAAAAGATGTCCACAAAATCCTATGCACTGATTTAGGATGGCACCTGCCCACACTTTCTCTATGCTTAAACTGGTTCAAGCCTCAACGACACCCAATGTACATTTGGATGTTTTGTTGAGCTCCAGTTATAGATGAGAAAATTAAATAGACCAAATCCAAAGGAGTGTGGACCGACTTTGGGGTCATCCCATCCTTCTAGAGAAATGTCTGAGCGCGGTTCCACCTTGATCAAACTGTGATCAACCACTCTACACTCAAGTGGATTTGAACTAGTTATCCGCTAGATCAGAAGTTATTTATAACAAATGCCATTTTCAAAGATCTCTTGAAGACTCAAAGCATATCACGCCGTCAAAAGTCAATTCTACCTTATACGGCGTACACACATTCCTTGAAGTAGTCAGTGTGGCGACGAAGTGAATTCTAAGGTCGTGGTCCGCACAGAAAACTAAACCACTGCTTACTCAATGCCGTAAATGTGGACATGCCGACCAAGCCACTTGCTTCTGATCATGCTTTTTAGTTGAAACTTCGGAATAATCGTAGGGGCTTGTCCTCAGAACTAAAAATCATATCTTCATATCAGAACGCCTGAGCAAGCTTATGTACTGTACTTTCCAGCTTGAGGTTACGAGTGATCAGGTCAGGTCTCTACTTTGGTCTAGGCTGCTGGCTGGAACAAAGGCTTCATGCCAAAGCTGCATCGATGTAGGGTCAGTCATTCCTCAGTGGGTTGGGGCAGACACGATGCAGGTTTGACTTTAATTCTAGGACGTAAGATTCTACCATTGCAAAACCTTCCTGCTTCTAGTATATGGAAATCTCGTGGGAGGAAGTACAATTGGGCCGCCAACGAATTAGTGCAATACCCAGGCTACTGGTGCGAGTCCATGGCAGCAGGCTGCCAAGTTGGACTTGCACCCATGAGAGAAATTAGATCATTATTGTCGAGGAAAACATACTAAAATATATTTCGTGAATCGATTGTTACATGAAATGCCACTATAGTTGATATCAATAAAATATATGTTAACATAATATTTGAATATAAATCCATACGAAAGGATTTGTTGATTTTGTAAATAAATATCAAATTTAATTGATTTGAATTAAAAATTTATAAATTATAAAATAAAAAAAATTTAAACTGTAATATATGATGAATGCATGAAAATAAAAATATTTTCAAAAATATATTTCAAATTTTCTCATTATTTAAAAATGTTATGTGTATGATATACAGACTATGGCAACTTTGATATATCTAAATTAATTTTAGATATAAATTTTCATTAAAAAATATAATATTATTAAATGATAGTTTTAACTAATTTTGAATATATAATATTATTTTACACATTTAGCAAAAACAACATAACTACAATTGCACCATCAATTTTATTAGAACAAATAATATTATTTCATTATGTTTTGGTCAAGATGTATTTATATACAATTCTCAGCTGAACATGGTAGGTTTTTTTTGTTTTGTATGAAAAATAATCACTTGAAAATTATGAATATTTATTTCAAAACTTTTATATAATTCCGAGTGATAATTCCGAATTCTCTTTATAATGAAGATTAGTCTTTTGTATGAAAATATCTCCTTAGAGTACAGAAGACTCGGTCGGAAGCATCGGGGCGTGCAGAAAAAGGGGAAAGGCTATTGATTCTTGCGAAGCAATCCTCGGTAGTGCATGAAACACCACGCCTCAACATTCAACTCACTTAAACTAAATTCAAGGGTATCATAACCCCAAGGACGAATAATCGAGGCGATAAAGAGGTGAATCAACGTCGGAACCTTTGAAAATGTCATATATCAGATATAACTTCTGATCTAGCAGACAACTAGTTCAAATCCACTTGACCACAGCTGGCCCAAGGTGGAAACGCGCTCAGAAATTTAACTAGAAGGATGGCAAGACCCCAAAGTCGGTCCTCACTCCGTTGATTTGGTCTATGTAATTTTCTCATAAATACCTGGATCTCAACCAAACATTCAAACGCACACTGGTTGTCGTTGAGGCTTGAATCAATTTGAGCATAGAGAAAGTGTGAGCAGGTGCCATCCTAAACCAGCGCAAAGGATTTTGTGGAAATCTTTTGCATTATCTAATGTTGATGTCATGCCGTAAGTTCGATATCAACATGATGAAATTTGGCGCGATCCCAGTCTTTGTCAAGAGAATCATCCTTGTAGAGCTATTTCTCCTCCTCGTCATCGTGGGTGCGTCTCCACAAACTGTTGAACATTCTTCTGCCTTCCATTCAATAGCACAGATTTGTCTACCTTCCGGCATCTAGTCACTCGGTTGAACGTCTGTAGCCATCTGCAGGTTGAGCTGCGTCTTTAAGCCAAAACTCATTGTTTTATTTACAGTCAGTGAGATGTAGAGACAAAACTGAGTTTTATGCTGACGGAAGGTTGTGTGACCGAACTGGATTGTGTCATTGATACTCAGGATATTTTGGTACAAAAGCAGGAGACTCTTTTATCGATTCAAAGGTGAGAATCTTGTTCCCGTTCGAATAAAGTACTGTGTATGCGCCTACGTTGCTCTTTTGTAGATCCTGCAATGGCTTGTCAGTTCCGACACAAGCATATCAGTGGATGCATCTGGACGAAATAGACGTGAAATTGAAATTCATGAGGTTTTCTGACACAGACATGAATTGGGTATAAATACGATTGACGAGTTTGATATCAAACTCGTCAATACTATGTCGGGTTTATATCATTGTTCCAGCGTCTATGGCTAATGCGCTAGGCACGAGTGCTCGCTGCTTGCAAGAAACATTGAGACATTTGCTTCTAAACCCGTTACAGGATTTTGGAGCTTCCGAAGATATAGAGAGAAGTTCACATCCTGGATTTGCTCCTCCAGATGTTTTCATCATGAAGCCTTTTGCAGTCCAAGGGCAACAATATCATAGTCGAAGGAGACTGGCACCAGAAGACCCTGTGCCAAACCCATCGAATTTCCGTTAAGTGCCACCCGTTTAAAGGTAGACATAGATCTTGTGCTCTGGTCAAAGAAGTTTAGAAAGCGCTGCACAAGCTACTGGATCATGTAGCAGATTGTACTTCTTACAGTACCTATTGAAAATTTTCTATATTGATGTACTGTGCTCTCGAAAAGCCGAACTTCCTCCAAGGTGCGCCATCAAGCGAATGGTTCCAGCTTTGAAACGTGGTTTCAAAGCTCCATGCAGTGGATCTCAGTGTGTAGACAAGCTGGTGCCTCATTTGGCATATTAGTGGGTAGCTTCACACTTATCGGATTGAAATTACTTCTACAACAAAAGTATACAAAAAATCAAATTTTTTTCTGTTCAATTAGAGAACATTGTTGAAGTACTTCATCAGCCTGCTCTTCAAGATATGCTTTGACATCTACTCAGGCCCCGCTTGAATCAACCTTTTCTCTAAAAAATATAATACTTTAAGAGTCCTATGCTACGTGCAGACGAATGATATGCAGACAGAACGTACACGCTTTCTGCTCGTGCTCATATAAATTATACCAGGCCCAGGCACTCCCCTCGAGATGTTTCGAGTGGAGTGCCTGGGCCCGGTAATCCAGGAAACAGATCGTCGGCTTTCACACCGGTCTATGGCTTGGAGCTAGGATGCTGGTTTGGACTCGTAGGTTTCTGTCACGCAACTCAGCTACATGGCTATCAGTCAAAGGAAAAATTCTGTTGCCAACCTGATTTGAAACTTCCTCCCTCCTATTCCTTGAGCTACTATCAAACTCACGATGAATAAAAGTCAATCTGTTAGGTGCTCGTGCTCGTGATGCACAAACTGTAGAGAAGTTGTTTGCACCGACGTCCACGGCAGGGGAGGCAGGAGAAAACGACGACGAACGTGATGGCGACTTTAGAATCTGTCAACAGGGAAGTCAGAAGCGAGCTCTTTATTTTGGTAGTGATGATCCTCGTGTGCTTGATGTCTGAAGACGTGGAGGGATCGGCCCCAGATTCATTCAGAAGCCCAGGTTTGTCAACTTCTCGTCACTCGTTTGAAGTTCTAACCTGCTGCATTCAATCTCCTCACCTTCTTTCCTAATCCCAGACTGATGAGATTAATCACCCTTGAACCGAGATTTCGAAGATGCATATCAACATGACTGGAAGGATTGCAATGTGATTACAAAGATTTGGAATGTGTACACGTCAATTGTCTAATTGCTCATTCGAGAATTCCTGTGCATCGTAGGAATCATGGTCATAACCGCGGAAGATGAAACCAAATCCTTGAAGGTAAGAAGTAAATCTGGATAATTTTAGGACGTTGGTATTGGTATAAATTTTACCACAATGAGAAGTTATGAATGCTAACGCTCATTGTAGATTGGTGCCGCACAGTCGAGGTAGGTACGCACTGTGATCGGCTTGGTCACAAGTTTATGGTCCAGCCGAGACTCGATCGTCCGTAAGTGTCATGGATTCAAAGAGAGCTAGACGATCACTCTCGACTCTTTCTCTGATAGATGAATCTGGTAACTTCATCCGTTGATGTATAATTTCAGGTACAGGGCTAGGGTCTAGGGATATTCTAAATCCTACGTCTGACAGGTGAAATTGCAGCTTTATCTGTTGAATTGTAACTTCAGATATCTGAACCTGCGACGGACTACAAGACAGGGTCACTTCGGTCTAGACATCTGAAGCTACCTCGAAGGCACAAGAGGCCTCTGAAAGCAGAACAGTCCACTCGGAGGAGACTTCGTGCGCCTATGAACTCCATCTGGTGAAATATTTAACACATCATTTATAGATTTTGAATGCTCAATATATATATATATATATATATATAAAAACATGTACATGTGGTGGGTATCCAATATCCACCCATGCCCATGGATATGGGCTAAGATGCATGGGTGGGTACAAGGGATGAATATTGATGGATGGATGTGTGTGATTTAAATTGAGTTCTCATATTAATTTTAATTTGAAACTTTTGGATTAACGTGATAGACTAATGGGTATGAAAAAGTTGCCATGAATGGGTAGAGTTGAATTATTCACGTATTGAAGTGTTGAAGTTCCATGCAAGATCCGGGTTCAAAATATCAGTATTAACTTGTGAACTTTTTGATTTTGATTGAACACACACAAGTGGCTGATTATTACACCAAAAAAAACTTCCAAACTAGCCTACCATGAATAAATGCTCAGATAAGATCTTAATATGCAGATATTCAGACCAACCAAAGTTGTGCAACTTGTACAAACAAAAGAATCCATATGAGCAGTACCTGCATGTATATATCTTTACATTTCTGTAGATGATTCTTATATTGTTGGCTGATCTAAACGAAACTTATAGAAAATGCAATATCAATGCCCGGTTCTCAATGCCTCTACGTTATCAATTTCCCAGCAATATAAACTAGCACATTTGATATTACGATTGTCTTTTCACCAAAGTCACATCTTTTGGAGACAAGCACTGATTCCATGCATTTCAAAGAGATTGTTTTGGTTTTGTGTTCACTTCTGCATTAAAAAATGAAATTATCACTCAGTATTGTAACCAGGCCTCAATATATGACCGCTTGGTTACAATAAAAAATTTATTGTCTAAACTTTTCATATATGCAATAAAAATATATAATTTAATCTTCTTATGCTTGGAAACTATAAGATAAACTTTAAGAAAAATACCTATACCATATGAGTGCGAATATCTCTAACGAAAATGTTTAAAGATTCATATTATCATAAAAGCATCATCATGTTTATTGAGTGAGTGAGATTAAAATTCGTAATTACTAAATAATATAAAAAAGATTGACAAGTTGAGGAAAGTAGATTTCATTTATGAAGTAGAAAAATTTAGAATGGATATTTACCATCATAATTATGAAGAAAATGAATAATAAATGACGTATGCGTGGATCACAAGAAATTGAATGTGTGACAATGAAATATTACTTTACTCTTATCTTTCATAGATATAATTGTTGAGTAGATAGCATATCATGAATGATATAGTTTTGTAGATGATTATTATAATTATACAAATCCGAATTGTTTTAAAATATCAATTGAAAATTATCTTTATCATACCAAGTGAATTTTTGTCTTTAGAATGATTTTTTTGGTCTATGTAATATTCAAAAATCTTTTCAAAAGTTCATAAATAGTGTGTTTGAACTTTTCATTTAAAGAATTTGTGAAATATTCACAGATAACTTTTGTGTGTATAATAATAAGTAATATCATTTTGATTATTTGATCAAAATATTCCAACTTTTGGAAGAAACTAAAACTTCATTGTATTAAAAAGAAAACTACATTTGGTGATGAATAGACTTGTTATTGGGACACATTATCTCCAAAAAAGAATATAACGATATAAAATTGGGTCTGGTATAATTTATATATGTACTAACAAAAAGCGCATACTTTCTTTATGCATAACGTTGGTCTGCACATACCATGAGCGTCCTAAAGTATTATATTTGTTAGAGAAAACATTGATTGAAGCGAAGCCTGAACTCGAGTAAACGTCAAAGTATATCTTGAAAAGTAGTCTCATGAAGTACTTCAACAAGATTATCTGATTGAACAAATTATATTTTTGAAATTTTGTATACTTTTGTTGTAGAAATAATCTCAATCTGATAAGTGTGAACCTATCCACTAATACGCCAAATGACTCATCAACTGTGGACACAGTGAGATCCACTATATGGAGCAGAAGAAACGAAGTTTCAAAGCTAGAACTATTCCCTTATGTCGAATCTCGGAGGAATTTCGGCTTTTCGAGAGCGGAGTACATCGATGTAGAAAATTGTCTATAGGTACTGTAAGAAGCACAATGTGCTACATAATTCAGTATCTTGTGCACAGCTTTCTATACTTCTTTGACCAGAGTAGAAGATATATCTCTACCTTTGTTAACTCAACATTTGAATATAAACTCCATATGAAAGTATCTGTTGATTTTGCAAATGAATATCAAATTTAATTGATTTGAATTATAAATTTATAAATTATAAAATAATTAGAAATTAAATTTTAATATATGATGAATTCATGAAAATAAAAATGATATCAAAAATAAATTTCAAATTTTCGCATTATTTTAAAATATTATATATATGAAGTACAAACTATGGTAACTTTGATAAATTTAAGTTAATTTTAGATATAAATTTTCATAAAATAAAATAAAATTCATTATCAAAATAATGATTTCAGTTTTTTTTAGTATATAATAATACTTCGCATATTTTGTAAAGAAAATAATACTACAATTTCACCATCAATTTTATTAGAACAAATTATATTATTCTATGATGTTTTGGTCAAGATGTAGTCCTATACAACTCTCAACTAAACATGTTAGGTTCTTTTTGTTTTATATGAAAAATAATCATCTGAAAATTATGGATATTTTTTTCAAAACTTTTATATACGATAATTAATACCTTGAGTGGTAACTCCGAAGTCTCCTTATAATGCAGATTAGTTTTTGTATGAAAATATCTCATTAGAGTATAGAAGACTCGGTCGAAAGCATCGGGGAGTGCAGAAAAAGGGGAAAGGCTATTGACTATTTGCGAAGCAAACAGCAATGCTCGGTACTGCATGAAACACCACGCCTCAACATTCAACTCGCGTAACCTAAATTCAAGGGTATCATAACCCCAAGGACGAATAATCGAGGCGATAAAGTGGTGAATCAACGTCGGAACCTTTGAAAATGTCATATATCATATAAAACTTCTGATCTAGCAGACAACTAGTTCAAATCCACTTGGATGCCGTGTGGTTGACCACAGTTGGCCCAAAGGTGGAAACGTGCTCAGAAATTTAACTAAAAGGATGGGAAGACCCCAAAGTCGGTCCTCACTCCGTTGATTTGGTCTATTTAAATTTCTCATAAATACCTGGATCTCAACCAAACATTCAAACGCACACTGGGTGTCGTTGAGGCTTGAATCAATTTGAGCATAGAGAAAGTGTGAGCAGGTGCCATCCTAAACCAGCGCAAAGGATTTTGTGGAAATCTTTTGCATTATCTAATGTTGATGTCATGCCGTAAGTTCGATATCAACATGATGAAATTTGGCGCGATCCCAGTCTATGTCATGAGAATCATCATCGTCGAGCTATTTCTCCTCCTCGTCATCGTGGGTGCGTCTCCACAAACTGTTGAACATTCTTCTGCCTTCCATTCAATAGCATAGATTTGTTTACCTTCCGGCATCTAGTCACTCGGTTGAACGTCTGTAGCCATCTGCAGGTTGAGCTGTGTCTTTAAGCCAAAACTCATTGTTTTATTTACAGTCAGTGAGATGTAGAGACAAAACTGAGTTTTAAGCTGACGGAAGGTTGTGTGACCGAGCTGGATTGTGTCATTGATACTCAGGATATCTTGGTACAACAGCAGGAGACTCATTTATCGATTCAAAGGTGAGAATCTTGTTCCCGTTCGACTAAAGTGCTTCGGATGCGCCTACTTTGCTCTTTTGTAGATCCTGCAATGGCGTGTCAGTTCAGACACAAGCATAGACGTGAAATCGAAATTCATGAGGTTTACTGACACAGACATGAATTGAGCACAAATACGATTGATGAGCACAAATATGATTGACGAGTTTGATACCAAACTCGTCAATTCGTGTTTCTATCATCGTTCCAGCGTCTATGTGTCTAATACGCTAAGCACGACTGCTCGCTGCTTGCAAGAAACATTGAGACATTTGCTTCTAAACCCGCTGCAGGATTTTGGAGCTTCCGAAGATATAGAGAGAAGTTCACATTCTGGATTTGCTCCTCCAGATGAAGCCATCATGAAGCCTTTTGCAGTCCAAGGGCAACAATATCATAGTCGAAGGAGACTGACACAACGGACACCAATCGACCCTACGCCAGAAGCAGATACTGCCCCATGAGGTTTCAAAGGTGAGAATCTTGTTCCCGTTCGACTAAAGTGCTTCGGATGCGCCTACTTTGCTCTTTTGTAGATCCTGCAATGGCGTGTCAGTTCAGACACAAGCATAGACGTGAAATCGAAATTCATGAGGTTTACTGACACAGACATGAATTGAGCACAAATACGATTGATGAGCACAAATATGATTGACGAGTTTGATACCAAACTCGTCAATTCGTGTTTCTATCATCGTTCCAGCGTCTATGTGTCTAATACGCTAAGCACGACTGCTCGCTGCTTGCAAGAAACATTGAGACATTTGCTTCTAAACCCGCTGCAGGATTTTGGAGCTTCCGAAGATATAGAGAGAAGTTCACATTCTGGATTTGCTCCTCCAGATGAAGCCATCATGAAGCCTTTTGCAGTCCAAGGGCAACAATATCATAGTCGAAGGAGACTGACACAACGGACACCAATCGACCCTACGCCAGAAGCAGATACTGCCCCATGAGGTTTCAAAGGTGAGAATCTTGTTCCCGTTCGACTAAAGTGCTTCGGATGCGCCTACTTTGCTCTTTTGTAGATCCTGCAATGGCGTGTCAGTTCAGACACAAGCATAGACGTGAAATCGAAATTCATGAGGTTTACTGACACAGACATGAATTGAGCACAAATACGATTGATGAGCACAAATATGATTGACGAGTTTGATACCAAACTCGTCAATTCGTGTTTCTATCATCGTTCCAGCGTCTATGTGTCTAATACGCTAAGCACGACTGCTCGCTGCTTGCAAGAAACATTGAGACATTTGCTTCTAAACCCGCTGCAGGATTTTGGAGCTTCCGAAGATATAGAGAGAAGTTCACATTCTGGATTTGCTCCTCCAGATGAAGCCATCATGAAACCTTTTGCAGTCCAAGGGCAACAATATCATGGTCGAAGGAGACTGACACAACAGACACCAGTCGACCCTACGCCAGAAGCAGAGTCTGCCGAGCCAACACCACCCAGTGAAGGGTAGAGATAAATCTTCTGCTCTGTTCAAAGAAGTTTAGAAAGCGCTGCACAAGCTACTGGATTATGCAGCACATTATACTTCTTACAGTACCCATAGACAAATTTCAACATCGATGTACTGTGCTCTCGAAAAGCCGAACTTCCTCCGAGGTGCGCCATGAAGGGAATGGTTCCAGCTTTGAAACGTGGTTTCTTCGGCTCCATGTAGTGGATCTTAGTGTTTCGACAAGCTGGTGCCTGATTTGGCATGTTAGTGGGTGGCTTCATACTTATCGGATTGGAATTATTACTACAAAAATAGTATACAAATTCATATTTGTGTTCTGTTCAATCAGAGAACCTTGTTGAGTTACTTCATCAGCCTGCTTTTCAAGATATGCTTTGACATTTACTCAATCTCCACTTGAATCAACATTTCCTCTAAAAAATATAACACTTTAAGACGCCTACGTGTAGACGAGCGTTATGCAGACAGAACGTACACGCTTTCTGATAGTATTCTTTTAAATTAGACCAGGCCCAGTCACTCCACTCGACATGTTTCGAGTGGAGTGCCTGGGCCCGGTAATAAAGGAAACAGATCGTCGGCTTTCACAGTGGTCTATGGCTTGGAGCTAGGATGCTGGTTTGGATTCTCAGGTTTCTGTCACGCAACTCAGCTGCAAGGCTATCAATCGAAGGACAAATTTTGTTGCCAACATGATCTGAAATTTCCTCCCTCCTATACCTTGAGCTACTATCAACCTCACAATCAATAAAAATCAATATGTTGTACCAAGAGAAGACAATGTGTCGTTGAAACCGAGGGATAGTATTAAGCTCCTCTTTATGTCTGTGAACGCCACTGCAGGATCTTCTATAGATAATCAAACTATCTCATGTGAGATATATTACACATAATATGAAATATTAATTGAGCTTGATTTAACCTTGTATCCATGACAAGATGAACCTGAACACAATATTTTTCATCTTTATGTGTATTCTACGTTATAATTGATATAAAATTTTGAATTTTTGAATAGTTTTGCAATTTTTGAAATCTTTATCATTTGTCATGTACATCTCAAATGCTATTGAGATCCGTCACAATTTGCTAAACTCCGTATACTCACGTTCATGGCAAAAATATAAACCGAGACTTTTAGATAATATTAGTTTTGTCATGGTAAGAATACTACTGCTTTGCAATTTCACTACAGTCGACTTATATTCGGCTGCCTAGAATTAAATTAGCCAATAATGTGACCGCCTAGAATGATCAGACTACAACTTCCGGTCTCTGACTCATGCACTGAATCTAAGAAAGCTTGCGGCGACTATAAAACTCCTTTCATAAAGCAAGAGAATAGCATAGCAATAAGAAAGTTTTCATTTCATGGAACGACATATTAGCCAATAGTATAATTCCAAATACCAAAGTTATGCGGGTCGTACAAAATGATGATACTAGAAGAGGTACGCTGCGATGATCTCATTCTCAGTTCTGTAGTCGTCCACGCTTAATATGGAAGTATCAAGGACGACTGAAACCAGTGACCGGGTCAATGAACTGTCGGAGACTGAGCACTGGCATCGTAGGAATCATGGTCATAACAACGGAAGATGAAAGCAAATCCTTCAAGGTAAGAAGTAAGGCTGGATAATTTTAGGACGTTTGTCTTGGTATAAATTTGACCACAATGAGAGGCTATGAATGCTAACACTCATTGTAGATTGCAACCCCACAGAATTATATGGTCCAGCCGAGACTCGATCGTCCGTAAGTGTCATGGATTCAAAGAGAGCTAGACGATCACTCTCGACTCTTTCTCTGATAGCTGAATCTGGTAACTTCATCCGTTGACTTATGATTTCAGATACAGGGCTAGGGTCCAGGGTTACTCTAAATCCTACGTCTGACAGGTGAAATTGCAGCTTTATCTGTTGAATTGCAACTTCAGATTTCTGAATCTGCGACGGATTACAAGACAGGGTCACTTCGGTCTAGACATCTAAAGCTACCTCGAAGGCACCAGAGGCCTCTGAAAGCAGAACAGTCCACTCGGAGGAGACTACGTGCGCCTATGAACTCCATCTGGTGAAAGATTTAACACATCACATAGATTTTGAATGTTCAATATATATATAAATATGTACTTCCAAATGGGTATCCAATATCCACCATAATGGATATGGGCAAGTCAAGAATGTGAACTTCTCAGTACGTCTTCGGAAACTCCAAAGTCCTGCAGCGGTTTAAAAAGCAAATGTCTCAATGTTCCTTGCAAGCACCCCTGCTTAGCGTATTAGACGCTTGTAGGGATCTGAATCCCCATAACCTATAGAAAATCACATTCCACACACCATACAAATACGTGCATTTGTTTACGAGGTTCAGCTTGAAAACCTAGTCCTCGCGAAACTCTCAATGAAATCAATTCGAGTATATATATCCAAGATCAGTTTCGTCATACTTGACTTTCTTACCGTCATTACGAAATTTCAAGCTAGTGAGAAATATACCACCGAAAAAAATCATTACTGTTTCCCGAGCAAGACTAACATTTCCTAATAGATGAATAACTTTCTCTATTTGTCTCCACTTTCTCACTCTCGACTATTCTTGAAATCTTTATCACTGTAATATCTGCCTTTATCCGCTGATTACTTTATATCATCTTTGACTTATAACGGTAAAAAATCAGAATGAATCAAAGCAGTCACTTTCTACACAACCCATAGGATATTGATTCATCAGCGAGCTATAACTAAATAATAGAAAACGACAAAGACTCTAAAATAGAAAATGACATGCAACTGATGTTGATATCTCGCAACGCTGGAACGATAATAGAAACACGAATTGATGAGTTTGGTATCAATCATAATTGTGCTCATCAATCGCATTTGTGCTCAATTCATGTCTGTGTCAATAAACCTCATGAATTTCGATTACACGTCTATGCTTGTGTCTGAACTGACACTCCATTGAAGGATCTACAAAAGAGCAAAGTAGGCGCATCCAAAGCACTTTAGTCGAACGGAAACAAGATTCTCACCTTTGATTCGATAAATGAGTCTCCTGCTTTTGTACCAAAATATCCTGAGTATCAATGACACAATCCAGCTCGGTCTCACAACCTTCAGTCAGCTTAAAACTCAGTTTTGTCTCTACATCTCACTGACTGTAAATTAAACAATGAGTTTTGGCTCAAAGACGCAGCTCAACCTGCAAATGGCTACAGATGTTCAACTGAGTGACTAGATGCCGGAAGGTAGACAAATCTGTGCCATTGAATGGAACGCAGAAGAATGTTCAACAGTTTGTGGAGACGCACCCACGATGACGAGGAGGAGAAATAGCTCGACAAGGATGATTCTCTTCAGATAGACTGGGATCGCGCTAAATTTCATCATGGTGCTATCGATGTCAACATGAGATCATACAAAAAGATGTCCACAAAATCCTATGCACTGGTTTAGGATGGCACCTGCCCACACTTTCTCTATGCTTAAACTGGTTCAAGCCTCAACGACACCCAATGTACATTTGGATGTTTTGTTGAGCTCCAGTTATAGATGAGAAAATTAAATGGACCAAATCAAAGGAGTGTGGACCGACTTTGGGGTCATCCCATCCTTCTAGAGAAATTTCTGAGCGCGGTTCCACCTTGAGCAAACTGTGATCAACCACACTATATTCAAGTGGATTTGAACTAGTTATCCGCTAGATAAGAAGTTGTATATAACTAATGCCATTTTCAAAGATCTCTTGTTGACTCAAAGCATATCACGTCGTCAAAAGTCAATTCTACCTTATACGGCGTACACACGTTCCTTGAAGGAGTCAGTGTGACGACGACTGAACTGAATTCTAAGGTCGTGGTCCGCACAGAAAACTAAGCCACTGCTTACTCAATGCCGTAAATATGGACATGCAGACCAAGCCACTTGCTTCTGATCATCCTTTGAAGTTAAAACTTCGGAATAATCGAAGGGGCTTGTCCTCAGATCTAATAATCATATCTTCACATCAGAACGCCTGATCAAGCTTATGTACTGTACTTTGCACCTTGAGGTTACGAGTGAACAGGTCAGGCACTACTTTGGTCTAGGCTGCTGGCTTGAACAAAGGCTTCAAGCCAAAGCTGCATCGATGTAGGGTCAGTCATTCCTCCGTGGGTTGGGGCAGACACGATGGAGTTTTGACTTTAATTCCAGGACATAAGATTCTACCATTGCAAAACCTTCCTGCTTCTAGTATACGGAAATCTCGTGGGAGGAAGGAATATTGGGCCGCCAACGAATTAGTGCAATACCCAGGCTACTGGTGCGAGTCCATGGCACCAGGCTGCCCGGTTGGACTTGTACCCGTGAGAGAAATTAGATCAATATCGTAAGTGTCGAGTAACCTCGTATCATAAACATATTTTGCGAATCTATTGTCACATGAAATATGACTATAGTTGATATAAATAAGATATATGTGAACATAACATTTGAATATAAAATCCATACGAAAGGATTTATTGATTTTGCAAATAAGGATCAAATTTAATTTATTTGAGTTATAAATCTGTAAATTATAAAATAATTAAAAAATAAATTGTATGGTGAGTTCATGAAAACAAAAATATTTTCAAAAAGAACATTTCAAATTTTTGCATTATTTTAAAATATTATGTATATGATGTACGAACTATGACAACTGTGATAAATCTAAGTTAATTTTAGATATAAATATTCATATAAATAATTAAAAAAATTATTAACAAAATGATAATTTAAATAATTTTTGAATATATAATAATACTTTGTACATTTTGTAAAAAGATCATAATTGCAATTCCACCATCAATTTTATTAGAAAAAATAATATGATTCTTTTATGTTTTGGTCAAGATGTAGTCGAATACAACTCTCAGGTAAACATGTTAGGTTTTTTTTGTTTTGTATGAGAAATAAATATTTGAAAATTGTGAACATTTATTTCAAAACTTTGATTTAAGATAATTAATACCTTGAGTGATAACTCCGAACTCTCCTTCTAATGCAGATTAGTTTTTTGTATGAAAATATCTCGTTAGAGTACAGAAGACTCGGTCGGAAGCATCGGGGCCTGCAGAAAAAGGGGAAAGGCTATTGACTATTGCGAAGCAAACAGCAATCCTCGGTAGTGCATGAAGCACCACGCCTCAACATTCTACTCACGTAAACTAAATTCAAGGGTATCATAACCCCAAGGACAAATAATCGAGGCGATAAAGAGGCGAATCAACGTCGGAACCTTTGAAAATGTCATATATCAGACATAACTTCTGATCTAGCAGACAACTAGTT